TCCTGCGATTCAAGTGGAAAGCAAATGGGTATTCACGAGTTTTTAGTAACTAATTAAATAGACAAAGTTTGTCGACCTCCAGATTGAAAACGCCCCAATTCCGATAATTTCAAATAAGTAAATAAAATATTTGCAGATTACGATGAGATGAAGCTATTTACGAAGTTTCTGGCGAATGTTAATAATTTGATAAAATGGAGTATGTACCACGGACTATTAGATTCCCTCTTTTTATGACAAGATTACTTGGTTAAGGTTGCTTGATAAATTCATAAGCAACATTCGAGGAGAAACTTTTGTTGTACAAACCAATTTCGAAACTCATGTATACTTAAGTGATACAGCTATGGGTTTATTTCAAGGAAGTAACACACATATGACAAACTTTTCAAAGCAACAACTATACTTAGTAATATATTAGGTTAGAAACGACTGTCAGCATAAAGATAAATTCTTGACGGAAAAGAAATTACATAACATGAGGATAGCCATGATAAGAGGATACCAACTTAACCTGATCCTGAAGTTATGTGCCTGGTGGAGGAAGTGTCCAATCAAATTATGATGGCTTGAGCCAAGCCTTATGGCTGATAACAAAACATATTAAGCATAGTAATTTAGTTAAAACTCTAAGGGAACGAATGACACCATAAACAAGCAAGAAACCAAAATAACCTAACCGGGAGACGAGGCAATGAATGGAATATACACCACGACTGCCATAATTGCTCATTAAAAGAAAGAAGAACAATTTGTTAAATTAGTTCACAAGTTGCTTAGGAAGGTGGTTTTAGTGGGTTGGAATTCCACACTATCTGAAGGAATAGGGCTTGAGGTGTGTTTTGAGATCGCCACCTTCTGAAGGAAAAACAACTTGTACGGCCACTTTTACACTAAACAATATTTCCATCATAACCAGATATCCTTTAGATCATGAATTTGTAGATCAATCTGGAACCACTTGAAAAAAAATCTGGTGCGCGTAACACACAACTTTCACTTACTGCTCAAGTTTGAATAGAAATTATTTGCAGGCCATGTTGCCATTATTAAAAATAATAAATTTCTCAATTGCATTTTTAACCGAGCTAAAGCTAAATGATTACAGCTAACAAATCATAAACACCATTAAAATAACAAAAGTCCTATTTATTATATCACCGGTTGATTATGGATTGTTTGACTATTAGTTATTAAACTGTTAGTTTACATTGCAAAGTTTACTAAAACGGAATTAATAGATTTGCATTATCAGTCATGGAGAGGTCAAAAGTTGTCACACTAATTGGAAATGGGTACTGTTGGAATAGAGCAAAGTTAAAATTCAACAAATTATTCATTAATTTGATTTTCTAAAAAGTTTACATTTATTAAGAAAATTTCATTTAATTTCCTTCGAAACAAGTGGTTTACGTTAAATAATGTTAGTTTTTAGAAACATTTGTAGTCCTTTCAACTCGCCCTTTCCATCTCACATTCTCAGCTGTATACTGCCCTCCTGGTAATTACCTCTCCTATAACCTCCTTGAATCCTTATTCCAATCCCTCGGATCGCGCTTCATTGCTGGAGGAGACTACAATGCTAAACACCAACCATGGGGTTGTCGAACATCCAACCCCCGCGGTAACGTCCTATCACGTGTTTCATCTTCCAACAATTATTCAATCATTCGCCCATGAGTCCTTCTTATTGGCCAACACCCCTCAAAAACGTCCTGATATCCTAGATATATTTATAACTTCTCAGATCTCCTCCTCACAAACCATAATAAAATCCCTTGATGACCTTTCTCCAGACCATAGTCCAGTTCTACTTTCACTACATTCGAGCTATGCTCCTAAACCATCACCTCCTAAATTGATTACAGGACGAGTAAACTGAGACAAATTTCGTGATGATTTGGAAAACAAACTAGACTTAAAAATTCCGCTAAAGACAAAAGAGGACATTAATGGTGCCATTGAAAAACTGACAGCATCAATAACAGACAGTATAAATAATAACACCTTTATCAATAAGTTTAACAATTCACAAAAGACTGGCTTGCCACATCATATTCATATCTTATTTAAGGAAAAACGCAGAGCAAGATCGAAGTGGCCGAGAATCAGATATCCAACAGATAAAACTCATTACACCCAACTGACTAACAAACTAAAATTTGAAATTAGAAAATACAAAATTCAAAATTTACTAAATTTTACTGAAAAACTTACACCTACCGACAAATCACTATGGACGACCACAAAAAGGCTCCTCAAAGTTACAGACTGTAATCATCCACTTCTTACTGAAGCTCAAACCTGGTCCAAATCCGATGAAGAAAAATCACAAATCTTTGTTCATCACCTCTTTACAACCTTTAATCCACACCCCAATATTCTTAACCCAAATCACCTTGAATCTATTGAAGCAGAACTGGATATTCCCCTCCAAATATTCCCCTTCAGAAATATCCTACATCATTCAAAGGTTACCTTCCCGAAAAGGTCCTGGACACGACCTAATTACATCCCAGATCCTAAAACTGCTTCCTCGGAAAGCCATTCTATTCCTTACTTATATATATGTAATGCTGTACTGCGATCCACATACTTTCCTGACCCTTGAAAATTATCCATTATCAAAATGATACGTAAACCCAAAAAGAAACCAGAAAATCCATCCTCCTATCGCCCTATCTCCCTTTTACCCATCCTAGGCAAAATCCTGGAAAAGCTCATCCTAAAACGCCTGTACCCCATCCTAGATTCTAATCACATTATCCGAGATCATCAATTTGGATTCCGCAGATCCCATTCCACTATCCAGCAATGCCATCGTGTGGTGGATGTTGTCTCCTCTGCATTGGAGCGCGGAATGTACTGCACGGGAGTCTTTCTCGATGTAGAACAGGCTTTTGATCGAGTCTGGCACCCGGGACTGCTTTACAAACTACGTAAATTCCTACACCCTACATACTGAAGATTCCTATCTAACTGATAGATCCTTCAAAGTATATCATAATAATGCCTATTCATCCCTTTTTTCCCAATCTGCTGGTGTTCCTCAAGGTGGTATCCTAGGTCCTATCCTTTACACAGTTTATACAGCTGATATCCCAACCCATCCTAACACTGTCATTACCACGTATGCCGATGATACATGTGTCCTATCAGTTAATAACGACCCCACAATTGCAAACCAAACCCTTCAATCACACATCACAAACCTTGAAGAATGGTGTGAAAACTGGAGGATAAAAATAAATCCCATCAAATCACCTTTACCCATCGTCGTAAACCTATGTCCTCTTGTCCTACAGTATCCTTTAATAATACCCCACTTATCCCTGTTGAACAAATACGATACCTTGGACTCCACTTGGACCAACTGACTTGGAATACTCATACCAGACTGAAACGACAAGAAACAGCTCGACGTTTCCGACTACTCCAGCACTTGCTAGACAAACACGCTAAGCTTCCAGTTAATTACAAAAGACTCATATACATGTCTACAATAAGACCTATTTGGACTTACGGAGTTGAGCTCTGGGGCTCCACTAAGCCATCGAATTCCTCTCGTATCCAATTCTTACAATCCAAAATCCTTCGTAAAATCCTCACTGCTCCTTACTTTGTCACAACCAAAATCATCCATAACGACCTTAATGTTCCTTATGTTTCTGACCTAGCCCGATCCAGATACCTATCCTTCCATAAAAAACTTCATAACCATCCCAACCCTCTCGTTTCTAACCTTGATCCCTAACAACCCTCCGAGGCGTCTGAAAAGAAGATGGCCTCGAGATCTCCTTTTGTACATACATTTTTAGAGTGCTACCAGTGGGTAGTTTCTCAACAAGTGATTTCATGTTATTATATTCTTTTGTTCACATTTACTGAATGTATTTTTACTTGTAATACAGTTGTAAATATCATCAATAAAAAAAAAAAAAGTTTTTAGAAATTATTATTTATATTTTTTTCGTCACTTTTCGTTACCTTCTACAACTTACAATCAGCTTTCCAACGATATATTATAATTATAACCTTCTGGCTATTATTTCCGGCCTAGATATGCATTTTTATATTTTTCTTCGATATTCAATTATCAGATTCTATCAAAATTATATTCAGCATTTTTTCATAACTCCTAACAATGAGAAGTAGTTATTATTTATAATAAACCAAATTAAAGTTACTTAGAGTGAGGGTACTTTACATGCGATTTACGTTAAATATTATTAGTTTCCATACTTCCATACTTTTATACTACTACTATACTTTTTTCGCCACTCTCTGTATTGTTCGATATTGTTTTTTTCTAAAATTCTCCCTTTTCCAACAATATATTATACGTATATTTTTTTATGACTAGTATTTCCGGAGATTCATTTTCGATCTGGATAAGCATTTTTATTTTTTTCTCCTTTATTCAATTATCAAATTCATCCAAAAAATATATTTAGCATTTTTTCGTAACTCTTTAATTATTTAAAATAGACCATATCAAAGATATTTTAGAGAAAGACGCATATAGACATTGGGCATTTAAGCACTGTAAAGTGACATCAACGGGGATAAGACCTAAATTGTATCAAAGACCACTTAATTATACAATAGTACACCGAGTTTAATCAAAATCGTTAAAGCCATTTTTGAGGAAATTGTAAAAATGTGGTTCAGCGTTGATATAAAGTGGCACTTCTGCTTAGCCGATTTTAAGGAAAAAGGTGCTAGGACATCTAAGGCATAAGCCTATCTTAAATACCTAATATCAGTTTCGTAAGACTTTTCGTTTTTGAGCTAGTGTTCACATACACACAGACGATTTTTCGGGACTTGGTTATTTGGAATAAGGGTACCTCAAAACGTGTATTTCCGTTGAATACTCATATTCGAAAATTTTCACGATTGTAATACTTATTCTTACATATATAGGTGTCAGTAAAAGTAAAAATAAATATAAAAATTTATTTTTACACTTTACGTAAGCAATAAACATTCTATTCTATTTTTAAATATATTTATTTTATCTAATTAAACACCATATCATGAACGGATAATTATTGAAGAATTTAAATATTTTTTTCAAATCTTTATTTAGAGGATTTTTGTTTTTACTTCCTTGCACATCACCATGTCCAGCGTGGGTACCTGAAACATAAGAGTATAATTACAAACAAATAAGTATACTTGTTCGCCATTTTCATTGTCACCATAATTACCTTTACCTACACTTCAAGGTTTATCATTTATCTTTCGTAAACAAAATCAACGGGAGAAGCTCTTCTTGAAATAAAGCAATCTCTTGACGAAGTGGCGAATTCTTACAACAGTAAAGACTTGTAAAATATTGACATTTAAAATACTTCTTACAGATTAAGTTTGTAATGTCAAAGCTAACCTATTCTCCTCCATTCTCTCTACATGGCCTAGCCATCTGAGCCGGCTCCTTTTGACAGTGGCTAAAATGTCATCATTTTTAAAAAGCTCTTGGAGCTCGTCATTTTTCCGTATTCATTTATTTTCTTCGGACCGTATATTTTCCTTAGGACTTTTCTCTCCCATATTATCAGCAACCTCTCACTTTCCTGTGTCAGAACCCACTTTTCACACACGTAGGTAACGACTGGCCTAATAATGGTTTTATAAATTGTTACTTTTGTATTCCAGCTCAATTCCTTGGATTTCAGTATTTTTGCCAGAGCAAAAAAACACTTATTGCCAGCTGTAATTCTGGCCTTTATTTCGGCTTGCGTTTCGTTCTGGCCAGTGGCTATTACTCCGAGATATTAGAATACCGTTCCCATTAGAAAGCGGTGCTGATTAATTTGAACATATTCATGCATAGCTACATTATTCCTTGAGGACTTCATGTAAAGACTTTTCCCTTCGTTTATCCTCAGGGCAAGTTGCATTGCTGTCGCATCGAATTCTTTGATAGATCCCGCAAGGGCAGACAATGTGCGAGCGCTGATAAGAATATCGTCCGCGAATGCAAGACATTGAGTAAGTCGATTTAATATAGTCCCTCCAGGATTGGTCCTTATTTCTCTAACAATAAAAGTTAGAGTAAATAAAAAAGTTGTATGTTACGATAAAATATAGCTATTCACGAAGTTTCAGGCGAGTGTTAATAATTTGACATCTGTACCGCGGACATTATCAAATTGCATGCATTATTATGCATTATTCATTATAAGGGGTCGCATTATATCGACTAAATTATTATCTGATGATATTATTGACAGTGATGACTATCAACAATAAATGGAGGTTCAAGGAAGTTCCAGGAAACATCAAAACATTTTATCCTAATATTGATAGGTAGAATTTTTAAAATTTTAGTATGAAAAATAAAATATATTTATTTTAAAATAATTAGTTTATAGATATAAAAAAATTGACTGCATGACTCCTTAAAATTAATCGGAAGACCAAAAAACAAAACAAAACCTACAATAGTTTCAATTTTTTTTTTTTAAATAACTATGATGTACCTTAATTAGTAAAATTATATGACACACCATATTTCATTCCATATTATTAAATTATTAACATTTTTCTTGGTAATGTTCACTTTTTAAGTAGATGTTCAATGCATATCTTTGGAAGCCATTAAATTGCACTGGACGTCGATCGGACGTTTCGGTCGAAGTCGATTCTGGAAACATTGAATTATTACATAGTTAAATCCAAAGAGCAATAGATATATTGGATATTCTTAAATATAGGAATCACTAGGTTGGTATGAAAATGTTTTAACAGGTCTCACCTTGCTATTGCTAAGTTGATACTGGATCATTAAAAAAAGACTAAAAAACATCATTTGCGAAATGTTCAATTTTATTGTGTACTTTGATGGTGGCCTACAGATCTACGGAAGGAGGGCTGGGCGGATTTCGGGCTCAAGTCACCCCCAAATGGTAAAATATAACCATGTTTTATGAAAAAATTATCTCTAAAAGTATTATTTTTCGTCTAATTACATTCAATAGAACTTAAACAATCACTTCAACACCATATAGGTACTTAGTTTCTTTCTTCTGAAGTAATTATCGTAATTAGTAAATAAAAAAAATCTTTCGGGCTGAAGCCCACCCCCAAAATTAAATCCTGGATCCGTTAGTGATGTTAGCAAAAGTTATTTTGTCCTAACTCGTATTGTTTCCTCAACGATGAAAGTGTGTAAGCTTTTTATGTACCACTTAAAAAAAAAAAAAATTATTTTAGGATCGAAAATTTTCAATCACGTTTTATATTTTCGATCAAGCAACGAATTTAGTTCAGTATCTGTCTGTTCGTTTTCAAATACACGTAAAGAGCACGAGATCTACGACCGATATCTGATTTTTATGAAATTTTAGAGATTCTGAGACTTAGTTTCTAGGTTTAGTATCTATATAAATTTTAGAGGTTCTGTGGCCTAGTATGCATATCTATTTTAGTGATTTTACGTTCTGCTATTCCGCTAAAATGAACCGTTTTCAAGACATTCTATAATTCTTGACAAAACCTCTTAGTTGATATGGTTGCCATAGGATTCCTATAACATGTCTATGTTTTAAAATTTTAAATATAAATTAACGGGCGTGTTTAGAAAATTAAAATATTGCTATTCAGGATATTTTTCTAACAACTATATGTATTGAACAGCCAACAACTTGTAACAAATTGTAACAACAATTGAAAACATATATGTAGAAGAATAGCCATATAATCCCTTGGGCACCTCGAATAAAATTGAAACAATTTTTTTGATAAATATAAAAAAAATCAATATTTTTATTAAGTGAGAGGAGTAGCAACCAAGGCTCTTCCGCACCAAACAAATAGTTGTTGTGCGAGTGCAATAATGGATTAGTGTAAGTTTGGATATATTTAGCTAGTTCTTATTGCTTAACTATTGAAATGGAGGGTATTTACTAATGGGACAAGCTAATAACTTATTCAATTCATTTTTACTATAACAGTCGTGGTAAAGTATGACGTTTCACCAAGTGTATGTGTTAAATAGACTACCGTAGTAATATTATATTGTATATAAGGATAAGTGTTTTGCTGGTGTCACTTACTATAGGTGAAATGCTTTAGAGGTGGTTAGGGTGGAAGGGTTGTTAGGAGAGGCGTACCCAACAAATGTCACAGTTCTTACTGGGATATAATAGTTGTTATCAATTAACGACAAAAATATATCCATCATTTTACAATTTTCTTGGTGTGATAATATTCCAATCTGTTCCACTGGAAAAATGTCAAACATGCTGATAAGAAAGATAACAGGCGAGTTCAAAGCAAACATGTTATCAATTTTTACTTTGATTTTAAACAGAAGCACCTTGCCTGTTATAATCAGCTTTATTATTAAACTTTATTTCATTTATTAAACTTCATCACAGGTGGTTTTACGGGGAGAAGGGGACATTCAGGCTGAATTCCCCTCCCCCAAAAAAGGTAAAATGTAACAATTTTTTATGGTAAAAAATAATAAAATATCTCTTAAAGTAATAATTACATTTAATAGGACTTCAAGAATCACTTAAAAACCATTTCATTTAGTATCTTTAGTACACTAGGTATTTAGTATCTTTCTTTTAAAGTAATTATCGCTAAATACATGGATCAAAAAAGTATTGGCACACTTAACTTTTTTCAGGTTTCATTGTAAAAGAATCCGAATTTGATTTCCTAAACATTTTTATTTAATAAAAGATTTTAAAAAATACATAGATGGGGTAAACAAATGTTTAATATACATAATTAAAAGATCACTTCAACACAGTCAAAAAAGTATTGGCATTCTTTGGCATCTGTCACATCCTGATATTTTGCAATCATATCTTTGGCATCTATCACATTCTGATATTTTGCCGTCATATCTTTGGCATCTATCACATCCTGATATTTTGCCATCATATCTTTGGCATCTTTCACATCCTGATATTTTCTTGGTAACGACAAAAAAAAATCTTCAGTTACATCTTGTCCAATTTTACGCCATTCCTCTGATAAAGTTTCTTTTAAATAATTGTAAACAAATTTTTTTTGTCTTACTTTCGAATCCAACAGGTACCTTAGATGATCGGGTTAGGGTTAATACCTAACTTATATTTATAATTACGGAGTTGAGCTTTGGGGCTCCACTAAGCCATCGAATTCCTCTCGTATCCAATCCTTACAATCCAAAATCCTTCGGAAAATCCTCAATGCTCCTTACTTTGTCACCAATAAAATAATCCATAATGACCTTAATATTCCTTATGTTTCCGAATTGGCCCAATCCAGATACCAATCCTTCCATAATAAACTTCAGAACCATCCGAATTCTCTTGTCTCTAACCTTACTTCCTCTTCTATTCCCGATAACCTCCGAGGCGTCTGAAAAGAAGATGGCCTCGAGATCTCTTATTGTAAATACATTTTGTTTTTAGAGTGCTACCACTGGGTAGTTTCTCAACAAGTGATTATATGTTATTATTTCCTGTTATCAAATTTGCTAAATGTACTTTATTTATTAATACAGTTTTAAATATCATAAATAAATAAAATAATAAAAAATATTTATAATCGTTATATTTGATCCCAACGCTCAAACAGCATAAATTCGAGTACTATGTATTTGAAATAAACTCACTTTTATTTGAACACAAACTTTACAAAGAGATTTTAGAATTTGAGACTTTTTACAGCAATAATAATTATTCACATCTGCATCATTTAATATATGACTATATGAAAATAGTTTAAATATTTATAAAAACATCAGTTTTGGCTGACACCAACAATAGGTGTTCTATGGCATTTAGGTCCGGAGACTGTGGTGCCATTTTCAATTGGCTAGAGACATTATACAGCATCCATTCTTTTGTTTTATTTGGTGTTTGCTTGGCTTCATTATCCTGTTGCAAAATAAATGCATCTTTGATCCTCAGATTTTCAGCACTACTTGTTAAATTATGTCGACATTCGGTATTCAATATATTGTCATTAATGGTTAAGTATCCAACATCATTCCATAACATGCACTCCCAAACCTGGAAAATTCCACCTGGATGTTTTACAAGAGGTCATGTCGAGTTTGAAACTCAGTGTCAAGTTTCCGCCAAAGAAACTTGTGACCATTAGAATGGAATATGTTACACTTACTTCATTTGAAAAGATAACATTTTTCTAGAATTCTAGGTCTTTATTAAACAAACTTTTAGCAAACTGTAGTCTTTTTTTGCGGTTCACCTCCGTAATATTGATATTATTGAAATTATAAACAAAAAAGATGTAATAATAAAAAAAAATACTTTTATTTTACAACATGTATATATTAAATAGACGAAAACAAATGTAATAATAATAAAACAGTTTGATTAAATACTTTTATTTTATAAAATATATATTAAATAGACGCAAACAAATGTAATAATAACAAAACAGTTCGATTTGAAATTAAAATAGTCAAAAAGAAATGTAATAATTCCCACAACAATAACAAAACACTTTAATTTTACAACAGATATATGAAATGGAAAAAAATAAATGAAATAATAAAAAACCTCTTCAGCAACATATGTACATAAAAAAGAAACAATATGAACACTACATACAACATATGTACATATAAAGGAAACAATATAAACAAAATATGTAGATGAAAACAATTTTATTTTCAGTTAATTTATTATAATCTCGGCGTTTTGAAAATATTTGATAGCTTCTTCTTCAGAAGACGGCAATTTCCACAATGTAATATAATTTGACGAAAATCACACTAATGGAACAAAAATAAACGATGGAATAACTCACAGCTCACATGAAGAACAAAAAAGTTACTCCATTGTTCCATTTTTCTTATCTCAGATGAGAAGGGAGGTTATATGACGTAACATTAGATAACAAGGAAGGTTTCGTCCCGACCAGCTATTTAAGGAGTACCCATTGTACTATCGTCAATCCTCGTTTCTAATTTCTTTAAAGAAAAAGTATTAATTTGTAGCAATAGTAAACATTTAAAACTGTGCCAATACTTTTTTGGCTCTCAAAATTTACTCTTTATGTTTACTTTAAACATAGCTTTTGAATTTTGAACGTTCATTGCTTCTAAAATACAATTCTCAAAAGCCACTTTGTTATACAAATATTATTTCTGGATAATATCTTAATCCTATTGAGATTTGCAGAAAAATTAGAATGTGCCAATACTTTTTTTATCCACTGTATATGAAAATAAACTTAGTTGTGCGCTAACGACCACACGATAGAACTGAAAACATCAAAAAGACGAGATTAATAATATGAAATATAAATAATAACTTATTTTAAAGAGGATGGAATCCTGAACATTTCCCTCGCTAACAACACAGTCATTGCAGTCCAATTTTTAGTTTTTGAGATATTTTAATCCATATACAAATCACTTAAATCAGTCGACTTCAGCCAACTTTACCCGAGCGTTACATATCGGAAATCTGACGGTTCAATCTAATTCACTCTCCAAAAAAAGTGCGAAACACGCCTAGAAGTGTTTTCACTTAAAAATAAAAAATCTGTCTATTATCTGCTCCTCATCTAAATAGTTAGATGTGTTCCAAGATGGAATGTATAGTGTCCCTGATTCAAAGTCCAGGTCCTTACAATGTTTAGACGTAGCTTGGTTTTGGTTTTGTAATAACTTTTTTTATGAAATATTGTTAGGGGCATCAGGCCTTCCCTAACCCCGAAGTAGGGGTGAATCAAACCTGGATAAATAATTGATCAGAAGGGGGTGTTCATGTGGAATTTAAAATGAAAAGAATAAGGTTAACATAAAATATATATTGATGAATGAAAAAAAATATTTGAAATAAACAGTTATTGATGGGGTTACCGAAATATACATTCAGATTATTGTATTAGTATATATTTATAACTAATGGGCTGACCGGGTATATGTAGATTCTGAATGGTGGAACTATGATGTAGTATTCTCTCTTTGAGGGACTGGCTTCTGGGAATACATCTGGTCCAGTGGTGTAGTCTGGCCTGCTGACATCTGAATGTTTTGTCATGCCTAACCATTGCAATGTTAAATGTTCCCTAAATGTTTCAAAATGTCCAGAAAATAGATCGTGAGAAAAATGTTTTGATTTTGAGTAGAAAATGTTCACAACCTTTGACTCGAATATAAATGTTCTCTATTTTGTGTAGCAAGGAAGTAAAATATATATTTTTTTAAAATGTCACTTAACAATAATTATATAAGAAATCCCATTGATAATTTTAATTAATAGACCGAAAAGTGATTATTACTCTGAAAAAAGAGGTTACATTCTTCTGATGAAAAATAGAATCAAGATCCTTATCAGGGACAAACACTTGTTTTAAAAATTAAGGTAAGTGTGTTGTCCTATTTATAAGATTTATAGATCATACATTATTTTATTTGTTTGAGTAGGTAAACTTTATTTATATTAATAAATTTCATGAAAATATGAGTTTTGTTCAGTGTTTTGAAGTTCAATATCTGCTTTTTCTTCATGAATAATCTTGCATTCAGTTGAAGTAACATTATATTTTAATCTATTAATTATAGTTGTAAAATAATAATCATGTCTAATGTATAATGTTGAATAATTTCATTAAAATATTCCATAGTAATTTGGAATATTGAATTTTTTTTTGTAACATGACTTTTTCTCTTTATTTAAATTTTGAAATACTCTTGTACGTGATTTCCATTTCAGTCATAAATTATTATTTGTAATTTCTCACTTTACTTATTTTCTCATGTGAAGAGTTTCTTTTCTGTTGGTTATAGGTTTCTTTTTATTAATCCTTAAGTATATTTTCTGTTTTATGAATATATTTATTATTCTCAAGAGATTCTTTGAAAATAAGTTTTTTCTTATCTGTCTAAATTAGTGGTATCAAGGTTACATTGATCAAACTTATCATATGCAATTCTAATTATTTCTTATCATTATAAATTGTTGTTCAAAGTGATCAATATTAATATACTGAAGATTTTTTTTTTTTACTCTTATGTAATATCTCTGAATAAATATTATTAATTATGATTAATATATATTAATTATGATTAATAATATACCTAACCAACTACAGTCCACCGCTCTACCAACTTGGCTACCAGAGGTGTCTACAACCCTTCATGAGTTGTAGTGGTGCAGGTTTTATATATTTTATACTATGCAGGTTTGACCTTTGTTTTTTTGTTTTTTTTACATTCATACAGTTGCCTAACGGTCAGTGTAAATTCATCAAATGTGTCATTGATTGCAATTTTCTGAAATGTTCAATAAATTGCAATCAAAGATTGATTTAATTAATTTATTTGGACCATTAGGCAAATTTATCAATATATTTTATTTATATATTAATAAAATATAATATTAATATAATAGGAGTACATTTTAAGTGATTTCTAATATCATTTAATGTATGCTTTTTTTATTTTATATAATCTAGTAAATTGTTTTCGAGGTAACTAAAACTTATTTTAAAATATGGATTTGATGTGGATAGACTGTTTATTATCCAATTTTAATGTAGCATGGGTGCACTAGCGGATCCAGGATTTAATTTTGGGGAGAGGGCTTCAGCCTGAAAGCTTTTTTTTCATAAAAATATCGATAATTACTTTAGAAAAAAAAAAAAACTAACTAACTATATGAAATGGTGTTTAAGTGATTCCTAAAGTCCTTTTAAATGTAATTACATGAACAATAATACTTTAAGAGATAAATTTTTAATATTTTTTTCTATAAAACATAGTTATATTTTACAATTTTGGGGGGGCTTCAGCTTCAAAGCCTCCTCTCCCCCCTGTAGATCCACCCATGCATAGGTGAAGTAGGTAACTGAAACGTTGTTCTTTTCAAGATGTAAATAAAGTCATTGCCAAGGGAGTACTTCTTCTTAGTTATTGATTATAAGTTTTGTGTTTAGAATGATTAGAAAAGATAATTATTTCTATTGTTTGTTTAAGATGGATTGATTTAAGATTTTTACAGACATGTTTTTGGGATTCACATAAACACAGTGTTTTTCCAATTACATAACAAAACAATTATTCAATTAATAAAATAAATACCTCTTTTATAATTCTCTCAGCTTCCAATTCACATGGTGATTTAACTTTTTTTGATAAGTCAATTACACCTGGTTGCATAGTTTCATACAGTTTTTCTTCTAATTCTTTATTTTCATTCAGTCGATAGGTAAGATCGCAAGCTGGAAAGTAAAATAAATCCCTTGTTGAGCCTTTAAATTTATGAATTAGGTATTGTGGTTTAAAAACTTAATTAAAACTGTTAATATTCATTCATTAATAATATTTCATAATTCCTGAGTTAATAGTTCTTAATAATGCCTGATATTGTTGTATTTATGAGTTTGAAAGTGAACTGCACGAAAATAAATCACTATTTGGTAAAATATAATTAGTACGAAAAATATGTTTAACGGAGTGGAATGATCATAAGTGGAGCCATTGAAATTGTCCTCACTCCAAGCACTCCAGTATTCCCACTCCATCATTCCAATGTTCTTTCTGTAGTGATCATCACTGACTGTCTTAACATAAATAAAGAGAAAACTTAATTTTAATTTAAATTTTACTGATATTTTAATTTAGTTTTAATATAATTTTTATAATTTAAAATACTACCAAAATTAATTTTAAAAACTGTACAATGCCATGATAACATTTTGATGATATATAATTAAAATTCTGTTTCATTAGCCTTTGTTTACTATATTGTAACATCTCTCCTAGATATTTAAACTAATAATATAACTTCGGAAGCTCACTTCATACTCATGGGATACTTCTTAAGTAAATAAGAAGTTATTAAATAATAAACACTATTATAAGAGTATTAATTTATTAAACTTTATAATTATTTTATCTCAGATGGGGGGGGGGACTGACAATCAGATCAAAACACTCTGACAAACTATTATTATTATTTACACTATTTATACTAAAATTAAACAGTGATTTTAAAATAAAGTCAAGTATGGGTTGGAAAACTACCCTTTTTTCTATATATAATGTTTCTTCCTTTATTGTACTAAATGCATTGGTCTTCAAATGCTTTCCAATGGTCTGCCAAACATATCTTCCAAAATGGTGACATTTTCCTCAACTCTACCTCAAGCTCCCTGGGAGATCCTCTCTCTTGTAATTCCAAACAACTAGTCTCTCTGCCGAACAACAACTTCCAAGATGGTAACACTATTACTGGGTTTTACCCACTGGAGCCAGGATCCCTTCTCCCATCTTCTCTTCGTCCCAGCCAAACACCAACTGCCTGCCAAAGCAAAATCTTTTCTGGGATTTTCCTTTCTGGGGAAACTACAGAGCAGCCTATTTCTTTTCCCTGAACTAGTGAAACTATTTTTGAAATTTAAACATCCCCTGACAGCAGAACTAGATTAGCGGGGTGGCCGAATTGGCTAACGAGTGTGCACAGCACCGCCGTTGCCTGGCAACCTGATATATGAGACAACTATGAAAAATAGTGACGAATTCGCATCTTGGTGCCGGGGGAGTCTTTTAAATCCCTGCCCACACTCCCTGGCCCAAGAAAACCCCGTATAGCCTTGAAGGCGAGAAAGGGGAGGACCCTCCCCCAAAAAAAAGATTAGCTTGCCTTTTAACTGTTACATTAATTTATTAAACTATTTTTAACAACTTTCAATTAAGGTGAATATTACAATATATACTACATTATTAAGTATAATGTAGATTTTCCAAGGGCTTCGTCCTTCCATTGGAACCCGCCATTTCTATACTGTGATAACAGTGAAAGCTGTTTAAGAAAACTCGATGGAATTATCACCAAGTTTAGAAATTTGCCCCAAGTATATTTAATTTTAGCTATTAATTTTCTGTTAGTTTAATTTTCACTTCATTTAACTTAATCTTTATCTTAAGTTTCATTCTTTTGGCTCTAGCAGGGATTGTAGCCCTAGTACCGAGCCTAGTCTATAAGCTTTTATTTTTAACTTCTGAATTTAAATTAAAATAAAGTCTAGGTAACATTACATATATTATTATTATATAATACTTGTTTAATATTTTTGTGGTATACTTTACAAAAGGCTTCCATTGGTTTTAGTGGTAAACTTAATATTTGATGGGAGCCCTGGGAAATTTTTTCAAGGCCCAAGAAAATTATCTCTGAGGCCCTGGCATCTTCATTTTATTCCTATAATTGTTTAGTTCTCTCCCTTATTTCTTATGATATATATATATATATATATATATATATATATATATATATATATATATATATATATATATATATATATATATATATATATATATATATATATATATATATATTTATGCAGACACCAGTATTGCCAACTAGGCAAGGCAGGGTTTTAAATAAATTAAAGTATTTATGTTATATTATTATATATGTATATCTTTCTGGATATTGTCTATTTTAGTTTTTGTTTCTTAAATATTAAGCTTTTATTTTTTTTAATTTCTATTACTTTGTATCATTTATTTATCAACTAATTTATAGATGGCATACTGAAGATGGTACACATATTGAGGTTTGAAGGTTGTCATAGCTAAATGTGTTTTTAATACAAAAGTCATTTTAACTAAAAAATCTGGCTATCTATTATTTTTAAATTGAATAATATAATCTCTTATTTTTTGAGGAGCAAACCCTGCCTTGTAAAGTGAGTGCTCTTAATTCAATAATTAATTTAGGAGAAAGCCCTCTTTGTTGACCAACAAAACTATTTCCTTGCTACTTTTGAATTGAATCCAAGCCCCTCCATGAGTTGTACTGCTATATCAATAAAGAAAATGTTTCATTTAATATGTATAAAATCTTTTTGAAAAGTACTTACCTCTCATTTTGGCTTTTGTCTCTTCTTGGTTAATTTTTTGGACTTGGTTAGTGATCATTTTTTTGCCATCACTACCGCAACATATTTCACAGCGCCTTATAAGATTATCGGTTGCAGATGAAACTTCTTGATGGACGTGTGCCAATTCAGGCAAGTCACAATCCTAAATAATTTTTTTTTTTTTTCAACTTTACCCATATACTTCATCAATAACATGATAATAGTTATTTAATAATTAAAAGTTGTAATAATTACATTAGTAATTTCTTTTACAAGAAAAAGGAAATTCCAAAAAAGGAAATAATAACTAACTTTAATATTACAACAAACAGTACCCAACTTCTTTGTATTCTATTTAATTTATATTCTAATCGACAAACAGTGAACACAAATAATCCAAGAATTTGGGTTCATTGGAATACTGTTCTTTGAATCTCTTAAGGAAAATTTAAAAGTTTTATAGCTGTTTTGAAAAATATTAGAATGTTAAGAATCCAGGGAGAATGATTTTAGATCATATTTTATGAAATTGAGATTGTGCTATCTCATGAAGGATGGGAAGTACTATCAAATGGCGAGAACCCTTCCAAGTAAAATTAAATTAATTACAGTCAAAATGCAGAAGAAAGCCTGTGAGCGAATTTTCTCTATTTTCAATTTTTCCACACTCCATTTTTATTTTTTTATTATATATAATCATACTGATTGTCAGTATTATACTTTTTAATTGTTAGCATATAGTAGTCTAATAGTTCAAAAATAAAATTTCTTAAACATCAATTCTTGAAATGTTATAATGAAACATTATACTTCAGTTTTTCCATGTGAATTTTTATGACAAATATATTTTTTACTGTGAAGTATTCAAATATCAAACAAATGAAAATGTTAAAATATGACCACCGGTTATTAACAAATTCAAGATAGATGTGTATAACTCGTAAAGAAACAAGGAAAATTAATTTTATTTGACAATTTTACCTAATCTTTTCTTCAGGTTATCATTACAGAAGATGCTCCTTAAAAAAAAAAAAAACTACCTAATCCGAAATCTCTAGATAATTTATTGAAATAATAACTTAAGGTACCTAAAATTTACTTACGGAAGTGACTTTCAGATGACAAAAGTATAAATAAATAAGTACTTTAGATAATTATAGTTAAATTCATTAATGAAAATAACAATTCATGTCATGCTAACATGTAATGAAATTGTATACAGCAATTACCTATAAACACTAATCCCTCCCCCTTCCCATCGCTTAAAATTGCTATCCAACATGCAAGAGTGTGTTTCCTAATTATAATTTGGGTAATGCTTCAAGAGGACATGGATCATGGAAAAAATCATTACTTAAAATGGTATATATATGTGTGTTTTTTATATATTTTTTTTTATTATTACAAAGAGCATTTACCATTAGAAAACAATAATAATAAGTTTATTTGGAATGACATTAACAATTTACAAAAATGTACATAATAATCAGTCATATTTTGGTGTTCAACATTTCACACTAAAGATAATCTTCAAATTATAAACTTTAGTACCATACTTTCGTTTATTTTACAGTGGGAAAATTATTTTAAAAACCTACATAAAACAATGAAATAATGATATAAAAAAAAATTAGTAATAATGTAAAATAAACGGCTCTAAGATGCGCATGTAATCAATAGCTGCGATAGTTTGGGAGGGATAGAATACTTGATGAGACATAATAACATTGCAAAAATATACCACCAAAGTATACTGACTACTGGAGAATGATGAGATACTATTATCGTCATACTCCACAATAACGGAGCATAGGGTTTTGTATAACCTTCTGGATATATTGGTTATATGCAAAACAAATAAAACTAGAAAAATCATAAAAGACATAGCAGTAGCCTTTTTATATCAACATGATACCCACTGGGGGAAGTCCCCCTCAAAATGGTAAAATCACTCTCATTACCTTCTACAAATTTCTATATTAGATATTGTTTTTTCGAGAATTCTCCGCATTCCAACAATATATTATACATATACCTTCTGACTAGTATTGCCGGAGATACATTTTCGACCTGTGTAAGCATTTTTTTTTTCTCCTTTATTCAATAATCAAATTCTTCCAAAAAATATATTTAGCATTTTTTCGTAACTTTTAATATTGTGAGATGATTAATTATTTAAAAGAAACCATATTAAAGGTACTTTAGAGTAAGACGTATATGGACATTGGGCATTTAAGCCCTGTAAAGTGACATCAACGGGGATAAGACCTAAATGATATCAAAGACCACTTAATTATACAATGGTACACCGAGTTTAATCAAAATCGTTAAAGCCGTTTTGAGAAAATTGTAAAAATGTGGTTCAGCGTTGATATAAAGTGGCACTTTCGGTTAGCCGATTTTAAGGAAAAAGTTGCTAGGACATCTAAGGCATATACCTATCTTAAATGGGTAATATCAGTTTCGTATGACTTTTCGTTTTTGAGCTAGAGTGATCACATACACACATACACTCAGACACACAGGCCATCTTTGAGACTTGGTTATTTGGACTCAGTGTACCTCAAAACGTGTATTTCCGTTGAAAACTCAGATTCAAAATTTTTCACGATTACAATACTTACACTTAGTATATATTACATACATACGTAAGTGAAAGTAAAAAATTAAAATATTACCTGCCATCCACACTGCATAATTTTCATGAGAATTCTATTCATACGTGTATCAGGTGGTTCTCGTGCTAAAAAATAAATGCATTGCAACTTAAATATAAATCAAGAATAGTTTTACAATACATAGTGATTAGACTCTTGTACTTATTAAGGTTACAAGAAAACTTTAACAATGTTTCTCAGTTAACTTTTAATCAATGCCAGGTGAAAGCTTTAATTATGACCTGTATCAAAAACTGAGCTAGTAAAAACACATTAAAATTGTGACGTTACACGAAGTAAAGAGATTTTCACGGGAAATAGTAATGAGGATATGGTACCACCAATCAGCTCTAGTCATAGTTAAAAAAAAAAAAACTAATAATTTGACCGCCATATTTTTGGTGTGGTGTTTTTTTAGAATATCGTTTCATAACTGGCAAAGAAATATCCTGAGATCTTGCAGTAGCATTCTGATAAATAAAATTTAATTTTTACTTAGTGATGAGTGATGAGCAATTTCTAATATCGCGACTGTAGAATATCACATTTACTGCAGCCATCCTGCCCATGTATTGACTATTTAAAAATTATATTATTATCTACTTATCTACATTAACATCTCTTTTATAATGTTAACATTATAATGATAGTTGTGATATCACCGGATTTGACATAAATTGTCCCACCTAATGGGACCTTCGAATTTCGAATTTGAAATACATCAAAAGTTCAAATGACTATAATTCTTAATTTACTCATTAGAATCGAGTAAAATTTATCATTTTTTCTTATTGTTGTATTTACTTAATAATATTGTTTGATTTCATTAATTCAAAATCAGTTTTATCTATGATTTACCCTCCTATAAAGCTCCTGGACATGACCTAATTAGATCCCAGACCTTAAAACTTCTTTCTCGAAAAGCCATCTTATTCCTTACTTACATATATAATTTTGTACTCGTGTTCACATATTTTCTGATCCTTGGAAAATATCTATTGTCAAAATGATTAACAAACCCAAAAAGCCACCAGAATACTAACCCTCCAACCATTCTATCTCTCTTTTATATATCATGAGTACAAACTCTAAAAATTTCCTACCATCTAGATACTTCCTCATTATCAGTTCCTACCTTACTGATAGATACTTCAAAGTAAATCACAGCAATGCCTATCCATCCCTCTTTTCCCAGTCTGCTGGTGTTCCTCAAGGAAGTATCCTAGGTCCTATTCTTTATACAGCTGACATCCCAACCCATCCCAATACTGCCATCACCACGTAAGCTGATGATACATGTATCCTATCAGTTAATAATGACCCATCAATGGCATCCCATACTCTTAAATCACACATCACAAACCTTGAAGAATGGTGTCAAAACTTGAGAATTAAAATAAATTCCATCAAATTACCTTTATTCTTTGTTGCAAACCTATGACTTGCTCTCCTAGAGTATCCTTTAACAATACCTCACTAATCTCTGTTGAACAAATTCATTATCTAGAACTACAACTGAACAAAGTCTGACTTGGAACCCTCATACCAGACTGAAACGACAAGAAACCGTTGGACTTCAACACTTACTAGACAAATGCTCTAACTTTACAATTAATTACAAAAGACTCATACACCAAACCATCAAATTCCTCTCATATCCAATCCTTACAATCCAAAATCCTTAATCCATAATGATCTTAATGTTTCTTATGTTTCAGATTTGGACCAATCCAGGTACCTGTCTTTCCATATTAAACTTCATAACCATCTCAACCCTCTTGTTTCTGACCTTGCTTCCTTTTGAATTCCTCATAACCCTTCGAGGCTTCTGAAAAGAAGATGGCCCAGTGATCCCCTAATGTAGACATATTATTACAGTGCTACCAGTGGGTAGTTTCTCAAGAACTGTTTCATCTCTGTTATCTCCATTTGTACAAATTTACTATGTGTAATTTTTTATACAGTTGTAAATAGCATATTAAATAATAAGAAAAAAATTTATAATTTAATTTTGAAATAAATTTTGTATTAATTTATTGCTTATGTGAAACATTACCGAAATCTCTTTTAATCAGTGTTAGGAAAAAAATTTAAACTTGCAGTGATATAATAAGTAATAATAATAATAAGTAATAATAGTAATAATAATAAGCAACTTTAATATTTTTAAGTAAGATTATATTAGGATAAAGAATATGTTTCATGTTTGAGCCAAATATATTTACAAGAACAACAATAAACTGCATACTGATGTAGAAATGGTTGACAGTGATATAATATGAGAAGGAGTTGGTCAGGGGGGTGCGGTCAAATAAATAATAAATTTTAAAAAATATTATTTTTAATTATTACGCCGACGTTTAAACCCACCTTGTAGGCCTTCATTAGGGCTACAAAAGATAAAAGCTGTACAATATAAAAGGCTACAAAAGATAAAAGTTGTACAATATAAAAGGCTATAAAAGATAAAAGTTGTACAATATAAAAGGCTACAAAAGATAAAAGTTGTACAATATAAAAGGCTATAAAAGATACAAAAGATAAAAGTTGTACAATATAAAAGGCTACAAAAGATACAAAATATAAAAGTATCCTTTGTAGCCCTAATGAAGGCCTACAAGGTGGGTTTAAACGTCGGCGTAATAATTAAAAATAATATTTTTTAAAATTTATTATTTATTTGACCGCACCCCCGACCAACTCCTTCTCATATTATATCACTGTCAACCATTTCTACATCAGTATGCAGTTTATTGTTGTTCTTGTAAATATATTTGGCTCAAACATGAAACATATTCTTTATCCTAATATAATCTTACTTCAAAAATATTAAAGTTACCAATTGATCAAACTTTCATTAGAAATTGAATTTTTTTCGCATGAAAATTTTGATGTTCATATTTACATAAGTAACCAGTATTAATGCCCACTTTCTAATTTTTTACCAACATTTTTATTTGTTAAATTTTTTAATTAGCACTTTTACCCATTTTAATTAATAATTAATTAAATTTTAAAAACTATTATATCTGTTTTCAGCTGTTTCATTATATTAAAATTTTAATCTTTTTTTATATCTATTCTCTTGCTTAATAGGAGATCATGAAACTGTTTCTGTTACACTTTTTATCCTAGTCGAGCTAAGATGGTTTTGTAAAATAAAGATTTATACTTAAAATAGTTTACAGTACTTGTTTGATAATCTAAAATACTCAAAATCAACTGAATAAATTTAACATTATAAATTAATTAGTAACTTAATAACATTATAATTTATTTAATTAATTAATTAATCACTTGTTATTAGATCAGAAAAATATATCTTCCTTCATTTCATTTTTTAAAAATATTAATGGGTATTTAAAATATATAGTATTTTAGTATCTGTATTACCTTTCATTGTTTCCAGAATTTGACGTAGCCTGCAAAGCTGTCTTCGATATAAACTGGCTTCCTCTTCCATGTATGAAATCTTACAGCAGTATGTCTTCATTTGATCTTTCATCTTTCTTATTGTTTCGTTCATGCAGACAATAAGATTTTCATTGTCCCTGTTCGAAGTCGCTTTTTCCTTTAACATATGTTCCAAAGTAGTCTTCATTTTTCTTAAATCAGCTATTTGTCCTTTCAAACGTTCTGATTCTTTTCTCAAATTCTCCAAACTCCTTTGACACACATTTAAGCTCTTTTGTAAGATTAAAGATTGATTTTTTTCACTTAGTAGTTTTTCTCCTGTAGCTTTGATTTCATCAGTGAGTGCTTCGATGGATGTATCTTTTTCAATGAGGCACGCTTCCAGTTCAGCTTTCGAACGCCTAAGAGCATTTTCACCATTTTTTAATTCTTCTAAGCCCTTTAATAATTTATCATTATTATCTTTCATTTTCTTCATATCATTTTCCAACATCAATTTTGTTTTTTCGAGATCTTTCATATTCTGTTTTATCATGGCATTTTCGTTTCGAAAATCATTACAGTCATTCATGAATTTATTTAAATCTGTCAGCTTTTGTTTAAGTTCATTTTCCAGTTCTTGATACCTATTCTCACAATTGACAATGTCAGATTGCAGCTCAGCCACTTTCTTCCTTTCTACTTGCAATTCCAAGTTCAAAGCCTCAATCTGACTATGTAGTTCAGCGATTAGTTTAGTTTGGTTGTCTAATTGATTGGTGTACTGTTTTATTTCATTATTCAAAGTTTGCATTTCATTTTCTTGTCCTTTCAAATCACTTTTCAAATCCAGAATTTCTTTTTCCGTTTCTGCAACATTGTGTTCTAATGCTTCACGCCGCCGAGTTTCTGCTTTTAAATCTTTTCTTAAAGTTTCTATATCATGTTTTAAATTGGAAATAACTAATTTCAATTGATCATTTTCTTTAGCTAGTTCTTCGGCCATCAGTTTCAAATCTGGTTCAGAAGGCTTCATAAGATCGTCCATTTTTTTTTTAAATTCAGATAGTGCATCCTGATATTCTTTCGATCTTTGTTTTTCATCCTTTAAACTCGTTTCTAAAGTATCCTTCATTTTTTGAAGTTGGTCTAGTTTCATTATTAAATCATCTACCCTAACATTCATCTTATCTTTGTCTTCTTTACAATGCTTCAGTTCATTGTCCAAATCTTGAACCTTTTTATTCATGCCGCCATTAAGTAACTTACACTTTTCAATATCTGAAGCCAATTCTTTGTTTTTCAATTGCGTTTCTCGAAGCTGTTTTTCTAAATCACTAAGATTCTTTTTTAAATTGTTTATGTCATTTTTTCTATCTTCATTTTCTCCTTTTTCATTTTTTAATTGGTTCTCTAAACCTGCGATTAGGTTTTCCAAATTTATTTTATCAACCGAAAGAGCATCTAGGTCATTCTTCAATTTCGAAATAGTATCTTGAGCACCTTTGAGGTCTGCTTCCAAAGATTCTTTTATTTTTTTCAGACCGAAAACATCATCTTTCAATGCTTTATTAGAAGATTTAAAGTTTTCTAATTCTGACTCGCTTCTTTGTAACTCTTGAAACAGGTCACCGTTCTCTTTAGTCAATCCTTGTATTTTCTCGTCTAATTTAGCCAGTTGGTCTTGTAATGAATTTTTTGCGGAGGCGCATTCTTGAAGTTCCTTTTCAAGGCCAGATTTTGCCATTACCGCTCCAGCTAGTTGATCTTGTAGCTGTGCCATTTCCGAATTGAGTCGATCAACGTTGTCTTTTAAATCTTGTCTGGCAGCAGCATCGTGCGCCGCTGCAGTGTGGGATTTCAATTGATCATCTTTTGATTTTAAAATTTCATCATTTAATTTTCTATTGCTTCCTTTCAGAATTTCAATCTGTGACTTCAAATCTGAAACAGCTCTCTCTAAATCAGCGATAGTTTTTTTAAGACCGTCTATAGTCTTTGTGTTCTCAGCCTTTTCTTTTTCCAGAGCACTTACTTTGTTCTGCAAGCCATGGGTGACTGCTTGCAGTTCCGCAACTTTATCATTCAACTTGTCCTGTTCCTCGTTGCTTTTATTTACAGATTCGGATTCTTCTTTGAGCTTTTTAATGGTATCCTTCAGTTGGTCATTCAATTCACTCTTCATTTTCTGTAGGCTTTCTCGTTCTTGAAGGAGACCCCTTTTCTCTGATTCTAATCCGGTCAAACGTGATTGAGCCTCATCAAGCTTGCCAGATGTGTCATGCAAATCACGTGTTAATGTGTTTATTTCATTATTCGCTTGTTCTAGATCTCTTTTCAAACCTGAAATTGCATCGTTCGATCGTTTCAAGCCTTCCTCTGCGCCCTTTAATTGGTTCTTAAGTTCCTTGTTAGACCCTCTCTCTTTCACAAGTTCTTCCTTGGTCTTGTCAGCAATTTCTTGTAAGTTTTCTAATTTACTTTTTAATCTTTTTATTTCTTCTTTTAATTTCTCCACCTCAGCTTGACATATTTTCAAAGTATTCTCCGCTAGTAGTCTTCTCTTCTCAGCATCTTTATGCAATGCTTTGAAATGCTCTAAGTCTCCCTTAAGTCGATCATTTTCGTCTTTTAGTGACAATGTTTCTTTACGAAATTTACCTGATTCTTGTTTTGCCGCGTCGACAGCTTCACTCAAATTGGAAGTGTCTAAAATAGATGACCTTTTTTGCTTCAATAATTCTTTGTTTTTATCTTCAAGTGATCTTAACATTTTTTTTAGCCCTGCTACTTCCCCTTCCAAGTCAGAAATAGTGTTATTTTTTTTTACTATTTCTTTATTGGCATCTTTTAGTTCTTTTTCAAGTTCTTCCGTTTGATCCTTGTATTTGCCACCTTCTTTAGATTTATGATTTAATTCTTCTTTCATTGCCTTATTTTCTGCTATGGAAGCTCTTACTTGGCCTTCTGCACCGTTAAGTAAATTTTCTAGCTCACTGTTTTTCTTTTTTGCTGTACCTAATGAATCAGTTAATGTTTTGGCCATATCTTCGCAATCTTTTATCTTTGCTAAAGCTTCCGCTAATCGTTTTTCTAAAGATTCGATTTTGTTATTAGCAGCATCAAGTTCGTTCTGATTGCTTTTAGTCGCCAGCGTAACCTTCTTAAGAGTATCATCCAATCCTTTATTCAATTTGTCCATATCTTCTGCTTGCTGCTTCCATTTATTGACTTCTCCTTTTACTGCTGCATTTTCTGCTTGACATTGCCTTAACTGAGACAAAATACCCTCGGCTTCTTTCTTCATTTTGTCTAGTTCTTCAGTCAAATTGCTATTTTTTTTTTTTAATTCTTCGATTTGACTCTTACCATTTGAAAGATCACCTTCTAACTGTTGTTTTGATTTTTTTAATAAGTCATTTTCATTTTTAAGCTTTGCTTGTTCTTTATTTAAATCTGCTATTACTGCCTGACCAGAATCAAGGGCACCAGTCTTTTCGTTCAAGAGGAGTTGAAGTTTGTCCAATTGGTTTTTCAAGTCATTGATCTCGTCTTTATAATTTTTAGACTCCTCCATCAGACTCTTCAACTTATTATCACCTTCTGTTTTCCCATTTTTGAGATCTCTCAGTTCTTTCTTTAATGATTCGATTTGATCCTTTGCCTTGTTTAGATCGTTTTCTTTCCCAATTAATTGTTGTTGTATATCTTCGATAGTTTCTTTAGCCTTTAATAAATCTCTTACTTTTTCGTCTAGATCTTTGGCTAATTTTTCCTTTTCCGCGTTTACAACTCCTAACTTTTTTTCCAAGCCTTCTTTTTCGCCTTTCAAATTATTTATAGAACCTTCTAGGTTCTTTTTTAGATCCTTTTGCTGGTCCAGTTGGTTATTTAAATTGTTCAGTTCTTCTTGTAAATCCGATAATTGATCGTTGCTCTGAAAAATAGATTGTTTAATGGTCGCAGTATCTTCAATCAAAGCACTATTTCTTTTCTTTTCATCGTGAAGTGCCTCTGTCACATTCCCTAATTTTTCATCAAGTGTTTTGTTTTTTTCTTTGGCTGAATGTAGTTTTGATTCTGTAGCACTTAAATCATCTTTCAATCCATCTACTGTGCCTTTTAAAGATTCCATTTCGGATTCAAGTTTGACGGATTCCTTTCTTAATTTATCTAAATTGCCTGTCTTTTGCTTCAGGTCATCGCTTAGCGTCCTGATAGTCTTGTCGTTTTCTGAGAGTTGTGCTTTAGCTTTATTCAATTCGTCATTTCTTCCTTTCAAATCCTCTTCCAGTTTCGCTATTTTCGATTCCAATCCAGCGATGAGCTTTCTTAATTCTCCCATGTTTTGTATAGTTTCATTCTTCTTTCGGACCTCCTCTAATAAACGCGCGATTTCAGCGCCTTTCTTTTCTAATTGTGCTTTTAGAGCTTTGGTTTCGTTCATCATGTTGATGATGTCCTGCTTTAAGTGCTGGTTTTCATCTTGGCACGCAGACAGCTGCCCCTTTAATGTAGCCACCTCTCCTTTTGCACTGTTGATTTCGTTCAACGCTCTGTTTAGTTCATTTGCTTTGCTTTTACCATGATTTTCAGCGTTCGCGAGTTCCTTTGTAAGGACTGCTACTTGCTTTAATGCTTCTTCAAGATCAGAAATCTTAGCATTGGCCTTATTAAGATCGTCTCGTAGTGCCCCATTCAACGCCTGTTCTTTTTTCAAGCTTGCTTTAGATTCAGACAATAAAGTTGCAAATTTTTCAATTTCATCTGTAGCTATGAGGTACTTTTCTTTGCAGTCTTGAAAAGTATTTCTTAAACATTCATTTTCCATTTTTAATTTTTTCACTTCATCTTTTTTTATCCTGTAATCACGCATGATATCTGTAAAAGATTGCTTGGTAAGCGATATCATTTCTTGAAAATAATCGCATTGTTCGGATGTCAATTGATCTAACAGTTCTTCTTCTACTTTTTCCAAACGAATGATTTCTTGTTCTTGAGCGCGCATTTTTTTAGCCATTTCAATTTGGGATTCGGAAGATTGGCTGAAAAGATCTTTGAAATATTCTTTGTTATCTGTCAGAAGTTCCATATTCTCCTTCATCTGATCGCGAATATTTTCTAGTTCATCGATCAGTTCTTTGGCAGATAATAGTTCTTCATCCTTATTAATAAGCTCTTCAGTTTTCAACCTTAATTCCAATCTCATTTCTTGCAACGCCTCGCGCAAGCTTTCCTAAATACAATATAAATAAATGCCAAATCCAGATATTATCTATATTTAGGTATAGAAATAATTTATTTAAGAAATTAGGTTAACAACCTGCTTATTTAGAATGTTTGTTTATGGTAAAGTTAGATTATACTTAAATTATTTTATTTCTTTTTTTTTTACAGGAAATAAATTCTCCAGCGTGTATATGGCCTGGGTACACTAAAATATGGTACTTGATTAATATTTTGAATGACATGTATTTCTTTGTAAGCGAATTTGTAACATTATCAAAAATTACAAAATTCTTAATCAAGTTTTCATTCGTGGAAAAGCAAAATATTAACATTTACTGGAAAATATTTTTAAACCGCTACGATATTAATGAATTACTATGTTGAAAGGAACATGATAATATTTCCAATTAATTACTCATTTGAAAAATAATTAAATATAACTTTACAAGTTAGAACGTTCCGGTAAATAGGCACGTTGTGATTCAGAGTGTGTATGGCAGCCGGTGCAGGCCAAACTGCACAGGTTTAGACCTGTCAGGCGACCGAAGAAGAATCCAAACTTAATACCTTCTACCTGCTCAGGCATGTTAACCTCGACATGTGTCCGAGTCACTCCGATATGCCTGTACAGTTTTTAGATTAATTAGTACAAGCAAGTTAAGAAATCACGTGTATGCCCGGTCTAACACTGCATAATCCAGTTGCCTGCCGCTGTTATAGATCAGCTACGAATGGCATAATATTGTTTGCGGGAGCAGGTGACGGCATCGGGAAAAGTGGTGTACGCGGTCATAAGGTTGTGGACTTGGTCTAAAGAGAAAAGAAATCTTTGACGAACGAAGTTGTCTTTTAGCATTAAGTACACTTTTAGCTACTAAAATGGAAAAATGATATCGATTGAATAAATATTATTCCCCATTAACCTGTCTGTTATCGTAACTCTCGGAGAGCTGCTGAGTGTGTTCCGTCAGTTTGAGTAGTTCGTCTTCTTGGTCTGCTAAAACGCATTTCAGTTCCAGCAGCTCTTTTTCTTGCATATTTTTCTCCATCTCAGACATTCTTAGTTCGGCTATTGTCCGCTTAAGAGAATTATTTTCAACCTTTGTCCTTTGTAACTCCTTCATACTATTCTTCAATTCTTCATATTCCCATTCCATCTTGAAAAAAAAAAATGTAATAGCACTAACATTTTATTTAGTAGTAACATTGTATGTATGGTAGAATTTATATCGAAAAAAAAAATTGTAAATTCTTAAAAATTTCTTGAATTAAATTAAAAGATGTAAATTGTTATTATCTTCATGTATTTACTAAAATAATCCAAAATATACATGAATAATATTATATATAAACATTGGTGTAAAAAAGTATTCGACCTAACCAAATTTTATAAAAATGATAAATATTGCAACTTAAAAGTCGTTTTATCTTCTCAATGGTAAACTGATTTAACCTGCCACACATTGTAGATGTAATATATGTTTCAATGAGCCTTATTTTCAATTATGAAATAGCCCTAAGGTACCAATCCGTTGTTGTCGGTGGTTTATCCATTGGATAATGGTACCTTACTATTTAAATTTCACTACTTTGTTTTTATTTCAGTTTTCACACAACCCCAAAAGAGTTGGGGACCCTCACAACGGGTTTTCCCGGACTATTGGGTTTCACAGTTCCTTTCAAGGCATGGGAGGTTCCCGAGCTAAGTAACTAAGCTACATAGCCTTGGGTAGGACAGGTTCCCAATGCTCCACTTGTGGAGTTTCCGACACTGCCAAGGACCTGGTCACGAACTGCACTGCATTTGACAGATAAGGGCCGCTATGATGAGAACCACGGGAATTTACTCCCTCAATGAGGATCAATTTCCTTGGTTGGGGTGTGAGGAGAACTTCTCGCTGTTCAGGCTAGGAAGCATGGCAAATACCAATATAGCCTAGTAGGCGAGGTAATACCTCAACCATACCTTACACCATAACCTTAATATCCCATTTGTCATAGACCTTATTCCTCAAAAATTTTCCAAATTCCATCAAAACCTTACATATTATCCAAATCCAATCGTACGATCCCTCCCTAGCTCTACTCATCCCTACAATCTTCCCCCCCCCCCTAAGGTTGAAGCGGCAGTGGCCCAGAGACCAGTTGTAAGAATATATTGCAGTCCTGGCAATGGTCAGATTCTCCACTCAACCCATGTATGTCTGGTTATAGTGCCTCTGCTCAGCTTTCGTTGATAATACCAGTGATGCGGCTGAGTGAAAGATGCTGGGATCTCCTAGAGCCCTGCTTCTCCCTCTACGAGTGAGGGAAAACGCTTTGCTCGGAGACCTTGAGTGAATGAATATGTTTATTTATTATGCATAGTATCAATGAGCTACTCTTTATCACTATTACTGTTGTCCTAATATATCTCAATAAAGAAATTTTCCCCCAAAAAAGTTAGTTATATGGTTTTATAAGTGACGTAGCTAAAATTTTTAAATTAAATATTAAAGCAAACACAGCTTTTATAGGAAACATATTTCTCTAACTTACCAACTTAAATACAAATCGCTAAAAAGAAATTGATGTTTTTAAATTTGTAAAAATCTAAATTTACTTTCTTCTAACACTGTTTGTAATAATTAATATTATCAAAACCACATATCTTTGTGTTCTCACGGATTTTTACAATCTCAACACTGTTCGATTTCTTCACAAAAAATTGTTTTGGACAATTAAATGATTTAATCGATATTGGTCCGTTGATACAACCAAAATAATTTACTAAAAACGTTATTTAACACTATAACTATGCCATTTATTTATTAGTACTGAATGATGTGGCAGGGAACTCTAGGCGCCTATTTTCCGCCGATTAAGTGTATTTTATATTTAATCGCTTCAAACATTTTAAAAAATAATCCGTTTATTAAAAATAAAGATGTATTATCCAGATGTATTTATTTTGGAGGGTTTTTCGTTATTGTTGGTGGTTTTTTTTAAAAATGACTTGATTTTCAACGACTTGAAAAAGTTGAACTTATTGGTGTTTTTTATTACCAAGGTCAATTATTTTTTCATATGTTTATATTCTCTAGCTATTCAGCTTTAATAAAATGCTAATTATGACGAAATTGAGTCAGAAAAACTAGCTCAAGTCAAAGACGTCAATCCGCCATGTTTGGATGCCATTTTGGAACAGTTCGACCATTATTTTTGGGGAAACATTGGCTTTTTTTTAAAAATAAATTGTTACAACAAACACACTTGTATAAAATTTACAGGAATATGGAGGGGAGGGAGGAGGGTTCTGACCCACTGTTTAACATACTTTTGAAAACACCTCCCCACAACAGTTTATCATTCCAGTTAATGGCTCATTGTCTTCAAGAAAAACCTTTAAATTCTCTGGACGAAGTTCAAAATGAAGTTACAGAATCCTTCCGTTCAAAAATGAGAGAGCAATATTCTGAAGAAATCGAAATGTAACTTTTGAATGCTCGATAGATCGCTTCCTGTTGGGTTTAGAAAAACATGTTATATACTAATTCAAGTTTCCTTCTCATCATTATGTTTCCTTCGGGCTCAACTGAAGGCAGCCATGGCGACTCATTACCATTTCAGAGTCATATTCACTCATTTATAGTACACACTAAATATACACGGTATGATACAGAATAAACACACACCTTCTTTAATTCGTGGTTTTCCGCTTTGAATTTAGAGTTTTCTATTGATATGCTGTCAAATTTCAGTAACAGGCCTTTCATTCGTTCTTCGAGACATTGTGTATATTCCAATCTGGAAAAAAATAAAATAATGGTTGTAATTGTAATTAGTAAAACTTACTTGTATGATAAGTATCACCTTAATTGTTAGAAGATACTCTCAGAACTGTTAAAACACACTAATAAGTTGGACGAGTGTGTTTAAGACTGAGAACACCGTATTCTACTAATCTACACAGGTTCATTCATTCCTTCCACATGTAATATCCGAGTCAAGTTGTTTTTAGTGTTTTATTTTCAATAATCAATCTTTGTTATTAACTTAATAAAAAAAAAGTCAACTCCCTCAAAATTTGAGGCTTACGCTACAAGATACGTTGAATCCGAAAATTTAATAGTTTCTCCGAGACTACTGAACCGATTTTATTGATATTTAACATCGATGTAAAATGGCATCAGAGGATAATCCTCGAAACTAGCCATTACCATAGGCTCTTTTCTTTTAATATGGAGACCGAAAAACCTGTGTCGCTATCACTAGCGGATCCGGGGTTTGATTTTTTAGGAGGAGGGCTTCAGCCCGAAAGCTTATTACTGATATAACCATTATTACTTTGGAAGACGAGGAAATAAACTAACTATGTATATGAAATAAATGGTGTTTAACTGATTCTTAAAGTCCTATTAAATGTAATTGCATGAACAATAATACTTTTAGAGATAATTGTTTAGTTGCTCATAACACATGGTTATATTTTCCCATTTTGGAGGGAGTTTTAGACCGAACTCCTCCCTCCCTCTCTACGTAGATCCGCCTGTGGTCGCAATAGACTGTAGCTTCTATATAAAAGTTTTCTCCTCAAAGATCTTTAAATTTATGTATACACCCAATGCACCGAAAAGAAGCTAGAAAAAAAGTCACAAGGGGTGATAAAATTATATTTCAGAAAACATCTAAGAGTATACACTTTTCTTGTTAATAGTCTTTTAAAAGTTTACGAAATTCCCTAAAGTACAGAAAGAGAATGGTTGAAATTGGACGATTTGGTGCAAGGATATGGTGTTCTATAAAGCGAATATTCTTTGTTTTGGTTTTTGGAAAGGCTGATATCAACTGAAGCAATCAAGATTATTGCTAATAATGCTCAGCTAATTACAAATGATGAAAAAAATATATCTAAGACAATATTAGGAATCGTCTTTTATTTATTTTCCTCAAAGACAAAAAAAAGTAGCGTCACGTTTGATATTTAATTATTTGTGAATAATAAACCATTCTGTAACAATTAGCAGCGTCTTTTCTATGTGTTCTGGAAAATAGAACAGCTAAATTTAAAGCAACGTTATGCCATCAAGTTTTGTGTTAAACTTGGAGAATCCGAGAGTGTTGGGGGAGGGGAATGTTGGAATAGGGATAGGGGGAACAATCCTTACCAAAAGCTTGTTCTCTGAAACAGATCATTTCTGGAAGGCCCAATTCAGGTTGAAGACGAACCTCACTCAGGGAGTCCAAGCACTTCAAAAAACAATTGCTTTCGTTGGCTATTTACCATTTCTTAGTCCTTTATTCTTATTCCGATATTGGAAAATATCTTAAAAGGACGTCATTTTGAAACTCTGGAGAACATTGAGAAAAATGTAACCGACTTGCTCCCAGGCCCTCCCAGTTGAAGCCTTTCAGCGCTGCTACAAACTCGGGTTTGCAACGACTTGGTCGGTGTACACCTGCCGAAAGGAACTCCTTTCAAGTAGACGATATTCTTGTTTAAAAAAAATAATAAAAACTTTGGAAGATCAGTCTTATTATTTTTTCTGATACGCCTCGTATATTTATTGTTCATTTAATAGATACAATGTATGTACAACGTTCGGAATGAAAAGAGAACCAAAAAAAAAAAAAAAAACCTGAAAGATAGAACAAATACCTTTTGAGGAGAGCATCTTTTTCAATCATTAATTCTTCAAGCCTATTTTCAACTGTAAAACACTTTTGAGACGCTGATCTCAGTTCTTCTCTTTGCTCTTCGTAGAATAGTTTTTGGTCTGCAAGTTCTTTTACTAGTAGTCTTAAGTTGTCTATTTCTTCCCTATGGCTTGGAATACTGCATAAGCATTCATCCTGAAATAATAGATGGTTTAAAATATTCATTTTCCACGTATTATTGAAATATATTTCAAACATCATAGCCCGATTTCAATGTAATGTATATGAATATATTATAAATATAATATGAGAAGAAATACCTGAAATACCCTTTCGTGTAACCTAGCGTCGTCGCAGCTCAAAGTTTCCCGATAAGCCGCGTCGATAACCTCCCTCTCTTTTATCAAATCATACAATGCATCTATCTTCGTCGCTGGTAACCCAAACGCTGAAGCCTTGTCAACACACAATGAAATGTATTATTATGTTTTTAACACTAAAATCAACTAATGACATGAATATATATTAAAAAATGGCGGCTGGTTTCAAAATCAGGTTGAGCATACTGCAGATGAAATCCTGAGGAATGCCAAGAGTAGCAAAATATTGCCTTATTTATAATCATGATTAGATAATTTTATACACGTGTCCTAAGAACACGCCGAAAATCATTTACTGTGGTAAAATTAAAGTATTTTCATGATGACAGAAAACACACTCGAATTTTGATATTATGTAAGATTATTAATAATAAAAGGCTTAGCGAACCCGATGGTTCGATGCCGGCACCACCAATCGCTTATTACACACCTCCCTCCACCGTTCGCCGTGCAAACCCAGTCCCTTCAGATCGGCTTTATCGCAATACTCCCACCTTCGCTTCGGTCTACCCCTCGGACGTTTACCATTCGGTACAGCAAATTTTTAGAAATTTTTTCGAATCTAAGCCCAACAATTTTACAGGCCAATTCGATTCGCCGGGATGAAATCAACTCAATTAGATTACCCGGATATAGTTCACGCAATTCGGCGTAGTGTAACCGTCTGAACTCTCCGGTTGACTCATCCTTCTTCGGTCCGAATATTCTACGCAATACTTTTTCAAAAACCTTAAGACGTTCCTCATTCCTTGATGTAAGCGGCCAGGTTTCGCATGCATCAAGAACTGTATGTAGGTAAGATAATGGTTTTATAGATTCTAGTTTTTAAGTTCCGGGATAAGAGGCGCGGGCTAAATAGTTTTGTCACAGAAAAATATTAAGAATTTTCCGTCTCCATATTAAGCTTAATCTCCTCTTCAATTTCGTTTTCTATAGTTATCGTGGACCCTGGTCAAACATTTTACCTTCTATATCGATATCGCCATTCTTGTAAAATCGCCATTTTTATATTATTATATTCATCATATAATGAGCTGCTGAGAACGATATCTCTGAAATGTCTTTCCCGTCGATATCGGTCCCCGCCGAATATTTATCAAGTTCCTAACGGCCTCGGACGCCGGAGACACACCAGTTTCGCGGTATACCGCTATCTCTTGGCAACAAAGGTGAACTAAATTCCCTATTCAGTGTTTCTATCTGTTGATTGTGTTCTCAATAATGGCCAGAAATCGTAAGTAGACTTGGACGTCCGATACCGTTTATGTAACGAGGTTTTTATTACTTCTCTTTACTTAAATAAAAAAGTGTTATTTTTTGGGATATAAATCTTAAATATTAAAAATGAAATCAGAAAAACTATTTTTATTACATATAATTATAATTTATACATTAGTTGTGTAATACTTTTTACTTTCACTTACCTGTATAAACCTTCCAAACATGTGGCTATATTTAATGTGGAAAAATAGTCTGGCGTCTGAAATACGGTGGAATGTTTGTCGGTTGTCATAATTAATAATTCGAAAGAATACTAGAAGAATAAATATTGGATATCGCTAGTCGAAAGCACAACAATTAAGTTTATTGTGAAGGAAGCTAGTCGACTCTTCTACATATCATGGCTGATAAATAGTCAGGACGCAATCATTATACAATTTTTAGTAGTGCCGACGTTTCAACCCACATGTTTGGGTTGAAACGTCGGCACTAATAAGACTTTATAATGACTGCGTCCTGAATATTTATCCCCCGTAATAATTAAGTTTATTTAGAAAGGAAGAAATTTGGGACGAATAGTTGACAAAGATTGCAATAAGTCAGTTCACGCTGTTATTTATATATAAAAACAAGTGAACGGGATAGTATTTTCATCTCATCTAACTTAACTTAACGTTAACATTAAACTACGAAGGGTCTTCTAAGCCTGTTTGCGAACACATTCGGATTGTTACGGGATTCCATCTTGGGTTTTTTCAATCTTGAAACCAGCAGCCACCTTGTAGTAACTATTTGGAGACAGTAACGTAATAATAGTTGAATTAAAGCTTATTTTTTATTTTGTGGTGGTTCAGATATATTTACAACTCACCTTCTCAGAGATGATCTGGCATAACTCGTAGACAGGAATGTAGTTTCCGTACAATGTTTCCTATAACAAAAATTAGTTTTGGTACCGTCTAATTGTAAGCAAGAAATTTTTCCCCTGTTTTTGGATTTACAGATTAGCTAATAATCTGAGCTTTTCGCCTACTTACATAGGTCAGAAAAGTATGAAATTCCTACCTCCGCTTCCTTAGAATATAAAATAGAGGGACTTTTTTGTAGTTTTAAGTTTATGGATCGGTTAGGCAACACCACTTCTTTTAAATTCATTAAAAATTCTGAGAATCGAAAAATGGTGCTGTTTAAAACAAAGCAATCTTCAACGAAGAAAAGAGTCACAAAAAGACGAGTTAAACAATTATTTTATTTAAATATTCTTTGAGAAAGACCTATCTTTATGTTTGCAAACTTAATAAACATTTTTCCTTGAAATAAAACCAGGAATGAATTACAACAAATATATCTGAAAAGAAATATTCCTTCAATATAAATCCCAACTAAAATAATTTTAAATTATGTAATTTAAAAAAAAAATTAAAAGTACAATAATTATATTATGTATACTATGATTTTGCAACAGTCCATGGCACAGATCTCTAAAAAGAGATGATAAAAATGAAATTATTGACATCCGTCAGACCTTGTCAATGGTTTCATCTTATCGTAATCTACAAATTTGTAATCTACTAAAATACCCAGAAATAGGACTCATTAAATTATTCATTAGTTACTAAAAATTCATAAATACCCATTTCCTTTCACTTGAGTCGTGAGATAATTTGATCACAAAATCGAAAATAATGTGGCCTAAATATTGGACTGTTCGGCACATATAACCTCGTCATTTTGACATATTGGGAGTGGAGGCTACGCCAAACAGCACAATATGTTTGTAGGCCACCAAATTATTTCATCTAATATGAATCAAATTATCAAGATCATTAGATATCAAAATCAGAAGATTGAAGTGGAAAGCAATTAAGGGCTTATGAGTTTTTAATACCTAATTAAATAGACAAAGTTTGCTGATCTCCAGATTTAAAACGCGAGAACTTTCGTAAATAAGAAAGTTGCACGCAACGATGTGATAAAACCTTGGATGCTTAGAAATAGGCACATTTACGAGTATTCATCCAGGAAATGCCCCATTTTATGCCAATGTTCCATTTTCTGCAACAGTGCTGGTACAGTAATATCGCTCTTTCAGCTCCTTTAGGATGCCTGTCGCTTTCGCTTGATAAAATTTTGGGTGGACTTAGTAATTTGATAAAAAGGGATACGTACCACGACTACAAGGATGTTCAAAATGCGAACAAACTTACTGAAACAAAGTTACACACTGTTCCATTTTTATTAATTACGACTAAGGAAAGAAATATTAACTGTAAATAATACTCGTTGCAGATAGAATTTAAACAACTTAGAAATAGGCACATTTACGAGTATTTATCCAGGAAATGCCCCATTTTATGCCAATGTTCCATTTTCTGCAACAGTGCTGGAACAGTAGTATCGCTCTTTCAGCTCCTTTAAGATGCCTGTCGGTTTCGCTTTCAGGAAAAAGAGGATTGATGATTTGATCTTGAGGAACACAGAAAGGATGCACAACCTCATGAATATCGAAAAAAAACCATTGCTTTGAATTTTGATTTCCTCGTTCGAGCTTTTTTGGCTCTCAGTGAAGTTGGGTTCTACCTGAGCATGAGTTAGGATCATTAGTAAAAAATCATGATTCATCAATCGACATTTAAAATAAAAAGATTTGAGTCAGTTGAAGCTGCGAAAGAGAACGTGGCTCGCGCCCTAAAGAAGCTGACAGAAGAAGACTTATTTCCACCACTGTCATTATTAGCAGATAGTTATAGAGGAGCGTTCTACTGATAGAGGAGAGGTATATATTGAAGGTGATGATAAGCAAAGTAAATATCTATGAAATCAAAATAAAATGGTTTAAAGACCACAGCTCGTATACTTCCAAAAGAAACACCCAGCAATGAAAGTTAATTTTTTAAATTTAAATTTAAATTTTAAAAAAAAGGTACGTTTTTTAATGAACAATAGTTCAAAGAAAAATACCAGACAACTTATATTTATCCTTGTACTCAACATTGTACCCACCATTCTATGTGACCTTCCAAGATACCCTTTCCTACTAGACATTTTGAACCTATGACTTTAAATCAAGAGTACGGTCAACAGTTAAAAACTTGATAATGGATGCCGACGTTTCATTCCACATCCTTGGCCTTTTTTTTAGCTTTATCGTATGTTCTGTAAAAAAGGGCGAATCCAACAGTACTTGTAAGGATAGCAGATTTTACAAAACAGTTTAGAAAGGGGTGGGAAGTAAGAGGTAGTTATACAATATGAAAATTGCGCATTCGTCTTTCTTACACTCTGATAGTTATCCATGTTACCAATCTAAAAAAAAGGCGAAAATTCAAAATTTCTTCCTCCATTAACTTTTAAATGGCGTTATACACGTAGATGGAGTCCCAGTCAAGCTATTCCACTGGAGTTGACATTTCCGAGGTGCATCCACTTTCAACTATTCAGTATACCAAGCAACATTAACCTGTGTCGGCCGGGAAGTCTGGTTACCGGCCGCCTAGGATCCAAGTACCTCTTTTGGGTATTTTCTATTCGGCAAACGGGGCCAAACCATTTCAATTGTCGTTAATCCATCATTGACTTCCAACTAATGCTTTCAGTTAAAATCGGTAAGTTGATTGGTTTTAATTTAATGGCATCCCTGCTTTCAACTTGGAAAAGGGATAAACAAACCCCCAACGGACTCTTTTAGTTGAGGTCGGGGCCTTCCCAGTCAGTTCAAGCACTTTCGGACTTACTCGGTCATTGTCATGATTCCATTTATGGTGTGATCATGAGATCTGATGGTACCCATCAAAGTGGAGGATATCTTATACAGAAGTACCTATTCTCATTTAGGCTTCTTTGTTCCTGATCATTTGCATGTACAACTTTTTCCAATTTTCAAATCCAAAAAGGAGCAGTTACCCCATAATAGTTATTTTCTATTAGTCATTGGCATCCATACCGGATTCAATACCTTCTTGTCTATTTTGTCAAACAGGCTTCTCATTGTCCCAGGATACTTATATGCAGTAGCTAATTCTAGAGGTACACGGTCACAGAAAATCCTAATCTTCGAATTGTATCCTCCAGCACCCTTAGTTACATTTATTCGCAATCTTCTTAACATCATTTATTTTAATTTCCACTTCATATGACTGAGAGCCTCTTAGAACTATATCGTTGCATAGACCATGCTCTGTACGTACTCACATATTCTAGGAGTTCGCCAACACTTAAAATTCTTTGTTCTGCATTAACTCTTCCAACGCACATGAACTTGCATTTTCAATATACCCACAAATTTCTTAACTTCAAGTCTAGGTGATTTTATTTATTTATTTATTTACATTCCACCCTACCTTGCCTGATGGGCCATACGGGCGTTTGCGATAGTGGGCTGTTACGCATGACTGCATAACAGCATACTACTGCAAGTAAAACAGTTTAAAATATGTTATCTTCGGTGACGTCTTATCAAGGGTGTCCGTCTTCTGGCGGTCTTCTTGGTGGTGGTCCTCTTCTCCGTGCTCCGATGTTGAAGTGGGCTGGACCCACTGCCTCCTTCCAGTCATAAATGAATTTCTTGAACCGAGGGAAGTTCTCCTTACTTACCAACTGAGGAAGTTCATCCTCTGTTAGGACGTAAAATCCTGCGGTTCTCATCATCGTTGCCCTTATTCCTTCAAATGCAGTGCAGGCCGTGACCACATGCTCGACAGTCTCCAGAACTCCACAAGTGGGGCATTGGGGATCTATTTCCTGGCCAAAGCCATGTAGCTTAGCTCGAAAACCCCCATGCCCCGTGAGGAACTGTGAAATCCAATAGTCCGGGAGGATCCATTGTGCATCTAACCGCGACTGTACGGTGGGGAAGTATTTTCTGAGAGTACTCCCTTTCGGGGTAGCAACCCACCGACGGCTCCATTCCTCAATCGTATCCTCCCGGATTATCTTCTTCCATTTGTTGGGACTTTCCACAATCCTCACCCGTAAATTTTCTGGAACTCCAGCCAAGCCTTCTTTCTTGAATTTATGCTTGGTCGCATCTTCTCGCAGGAGGAGGTAGAGAGGTACCGCCCCCGCTAGGACCTGCACTGCTTCATGTGACGTTGTCCTAAATGCTCTGGTGACACGCAACAGGGCCATCCTCTGGATCGACGCCAACCTTTTTCACTGTTGCCTCAAGATACCCAGCACAACGCCTTTATAGATCGTCATCGTTGCGGGGTATCTGAGGCCCCAGAATGCACCCCCAACACGACTGAGTCCGTTCAAGGCTTGGGTCACCTTAGTTGCTAGATAATCCAAGTGAGGTGTTATATTTAGGCCTTTTCCTAACCTTACACCAAGATATGTTACCACCTCACTTGGGCGTATTATTTGACCTTCTATATCCATGCTAATGGGGTGTGCTCTATCAGTCGTGCCTTTCAAGAGGATGGCTTGCGTCTTTTCAGCAGCCATACGCATTTTCTTTCCCTCACACCATCTGGCTACAAGGTGGGCACATCGCTCTGCTGCTAGTTTGATCCCCGCCCTGCTGTTGGATGCCACCACAGCAGCTAGATCGTCAACATAGGCAGTGGCAGAGAACCGCTCATTTTCAAGCACTCCGAGCAACTCATCAAACACCAGCTTCCATAGAGCAGGACCAAGTACTGATCCCTGAGGGCATCCCCTCTCTACGAAAGCTTCTACCTCGTAATAGCTGCCTTTGATCTTCACTCGCCTGTCCTAAGTCTAGGTGATTGAAGATTCTTCTGTGAATCATCAATCAGATTTTTCGCATAAATTATGGCCTTAGCCAGATATAGAGTTAAATTCCATTATCCCCCCCCCTCATTTCTTGAAGATTTCTTCTACACACCTATATGTCATCCATAAAAAAGAATAAAAGCAAAGGACCAAAACTACAGAACTCCTTAATTACTATTATATTTTAAAACTTTTTTATATCCATACCTGCCACAGTCTAGTAATAAGCGGACGTGATGTTTATTGGAATTGGCTTGCCAGGCATGAGGGAGATCGGTACCAGTGTTGCCACTCGTTCTAGGATCCTCGTGTTTGTTTGTACGAGGCGGATGGGAAAATGCTACTCTACTCGAGTACCGAGTACCAAGTATTTTACTCAAATTCAATCACTGCTTCAGTTAATCTTGTGACATCAACTGAAATAGTAATTAAATTCTTTGGTACTCAATTTTGATTAAAGTATGATTATTATTTCCTTTATAAAACTGTGATTGTATACACATATTTTTTTTTTTTTCTAGATAAATAAAAATATTTTAAAATATTGTTACTGTCGTTCACAAACTAAGAGACAAACAAAAATATAAATATTTATTTCTTCACTATGCTTTCACTAGTATTTTTGTTTGTTGTTTTTGATATTTTTCATCTTCAGTCGGTGTCAAGAGAAATAGAATGCATAGTTTGCTTTAGTGATATAATTGCTGTTAGTTAGATAATTGTTTTTTAGTTAGATAATTGAGTTTTTCATATTTTGTGAAATGTCTAAACGCACCTTTAGAAAATATAAAATAGTTATAATTTATATATGTGTATACACAATTTATTTATTTGTATCTTTTCCGGCTCTCAGGAGTGATGGATTTTTACGAATGAGGTATCAGTTGAAAGGAAATATCACGTAGAGTGCGCGAATCCTAATTTTGATTCCTAATTTTATACCAGGACTTAAATAAAAGTGAATGTAAAAGTGGGAGGTTTCAAACCATGTGGTTGTTCCATCTCCACGAATCGTTACCAACGAGAGGTTACAAATGAATTCATAATTTGCAAATAACTCGAATACTAAGCAATTAGCAATTTTTGGTACATTATACATATCAGTATTTGAAAGCTTACTGAATTCCGTTCAAAATGTAAAAAAATCATCGAAATGTACACAAGAAAACCTTGTGTCTGATCAAATATTTTCACTGCATATTTTCTTTCTTTTTTCCCCCATTTTTTATACACTTATTGTCGGATTATATTACTCAGGATAGCTCTATTACATAAAATTTATATTTACTATATTTCTATAGTATAAGTAAAATGTTGAAATGGAACAATTTGAACCGACCCAAGGTGCAAAGATGGTTTAAATATTTTTTTAAGGATAAACCATGTTGAGATATGTATTTCGCATCTCGGAAAACCACCAAATACGAATTTTCATCGCAATAAAAAATATTTTACAAAATCTGAGCCAAGGGAGTTTCTTTCCATTTTTTTTTCGAAAATCAAAAAAAATGTTATAACTTCTACATGACTTTGGCTATCTACAAGAAATTTAGCAGGAATTTAGGGCAACATAAACTACACGAAATGACATCAACAGGACCTTGATTGTATTGAATGATTCTATTGCATATCGGAATTTAAGATTTTGGAATTTGCACTTTTTTAATGCATCAATTACTAATTATTTTTACTTTCACTTACCTGTATAGGTAATATATAATAAGCGAAAGTATTGCGATCGTGAAAATGTTCGAATCTGATTTTTTAAAGGAAAAACACGTTTTGAGGTGCCCTGAGTCCAACTAACCAAGTCCCTCAAACTTAAAAATAATAACGTAACGTAATTACGATCTGCTATTATATTTAAATAATTAGGTGTCTATCGTCCGTTGATCATTGATCATTGAATCCAGTAGTTTCTAAAGATATAGGCACTTTTATATATGTTTTATTTCGTACTTTAAATTAAACTCATTTTGGAAGAGAAGGTGATCATTAAATATAAAAAATAGTAAAACTAAATATTAATATTTATTTTTAAATTTGCCGACGTTTCGGCCCGAAGTTAAGACTTTCATCAGAGCTAAGAAAAGAACCAGATAACAATATGTATGAGAAACTATAAACATTGAATAATAAAAAATTAAAATTACAAAGGTGAAAGGTGTAGACTAAAAAATGTAGGTAGAGAAACTTAAACTAAAATGAAATAACAATAACAGAGAAATAAGAAATAAGTAATAATATCGGAAACAAAGTGCGGACTAATGAAATAAACGTAATAAAAAAAAAGATAATATAAGAACTAAAAATGGCAATCTTGGAATAAAATGTAAAACCGAGAAAAGGAATGTGAAGTTATATAAGGAAATAATTCATAGAAATAGAAAATAGAGATATTGTAAATTTTATCAAAATATTCTGACTTCGTATAAGAAAATAAAAAGTTAAAACAATGTAAAAACGATTAATGTATATATATATATATACATAGAATATATACAAAATAGAGATGGAGATGCGGAAAATATAGTGACGGAAAGGAGAGAATAAGGAGAAAACTAAATTAAGATAGATAAACGAACCTGATCAAACCAAAGGCTTGGCGAGAACACTCTAAACATTTTTTATAGTTACTGTCAATAAAAGAGAGTTAAATTTTCAAAATAAACCTATTCAAGGTTCTTTAGAAGAAGACATATATGAACATTGGACATTTAAGCCCTGTAAAATGACATCAATGGGAATAAAACCTCAATAATATTAAACACCACTTAATTATACAATGATACACCGAATTTAATGAAAATGGTTTGAGCCGTTTTTGAGAAAATTGTGAAAATGTGTTTCACCGTTGATATAAAGTGGCACATCCAGTCAGCCGATTTTAACGAAAAAGTTGATTTCACATTTAAGGTATATACCTACCTTAAATACATAATATCAGTTCCTTAAAAACTTTTCGGTTTTGAGCTAGATTGTTCACATACAGACACATGCACAGACTTATGGTTTGGTTATTTGGACTCAGGGGACCTCAAAACATGTACTTCCGTTGAAAACTCGGATTCGAAAATTTTCACGATCGCAATACTTTCCCTTACTATATATTACATATTACAAAGGAAGTGAATGTAAAAAGGTTTTAAATATATACATTCAAGAAATATAAAAGATCTGACCTAATTTGAGGAAGAAAAAACAATAATATTGAACCTACAATATTAAGAATTATCAATGAGCAAGCGTACGAGGTTAAAGATACAAGGATTTGTCACAGAGCGCGCGGCAACACTGGTCGGTACCCATCGGCACCCGCTCCTAACTAATCCTTCATGAGGGAGGTCATTACCCACTTTTCTTTTGATCATTTGGTTTTTGGTATACGTGGCACTCTTCTTCAGTTCTCATCAGTCGTTCCCATTGTATACGTTGGCACCCTTCTCATCAGTCCATCCCAGAGTATAAGTTGGCACACTCCTTCTCGTCATTCCATCCCATGGTATGCATTTGCAGCCTTCTTCTTATCAGTCCATCCCAGAGTATATAAGTTGGCACACTCCTTTTCGTCAGTCCATTCCATGCTATGTGTTAGCACCCTTCTTCTCGTCATTCCATCCCATGGTATGCATTGGCAGCCTTCTTCTTATCAGTCCATCCCAGAGTATAAGTTGGCACACTCCTTTTCGTCAGTCCATTCCATGCTATGTGTTAGCATCCTTCTTCTCGTCATTCCATCCCATGGTATGCATTGGCAGCCTTCTTCTTATCAGTCCATCCCAGAGTATATAAGTTGGCACACTCCTTTTCGTCAGTCCATTCCATGCTATGTGTTAGCACCCTTCTTCTCGTCATTCCATCCCATGGTATGCATTGGCAGCCTTCTTCTTATCAGTCCATCCCAGAGTATAAGTTGGCACACTCCTTTTCGTCAGTCCATTCCATGCTATGTGTTAGCATCCTTCTTCTCGTCATTCCATCCCATGGTATGCATTTGCAGCCTTCTTCTTATCAGTCCATCCCAGAGTATATAAGTTGGCACACTCCTTTTCGTCAGTCCATTCCATGCTATGTGTTAGCACCCTTCTTCTCGTCATTCCATCCCATGGTATGCATTGGCAGCCTTCTTCTTATCAGTCCATCCCAGAGTATAAGTTGGCACACTCCTTTTCGTCAGTCCATTCCATGCTATGTGTTAGCATCCTTCTTCTCGTCATTCCATCCCATGGTATGCATTGGCAGCCTTCTTCTTATCAGTCCATCCCAGAGTATAAGTTGGCACACTCCTTTTCGTCAGTCCATTCCATGCTATGTGTTAGCATCCTTCTTCTCGTCATTCCATCCCATGGTATACATTGGCAGCCTTCTTCTCATCAGTCCATCCCAGAGTATAAGTTGGCACACTCCTTTTCGTCAGTCCATTCAATGCTATGTGTTAGCACCATTCTTCTCGTCATTCCATCCCATGGTATGCATTGGCAGCCTTCTTCTCATCAGTCCATCCCAGAGTATAAGTTGGCACACTCCTTTTCGTCAGTCCATTCCATGCTATGTGTTAGCACCATTCTTCTCGTCATTCCATCCCATGGTATGCATTGGCAGCCTTCTCATCTGTCCACCCCATTCCAATAAATAAACGCCAGATAGACTACGTAGGTATTGTTTATGTCGCCACCTTCTCATCAGTCCATTCCATGCCCTATTTACAGAACAGTGAGAGTATTTTGTTATCAATAGCCAAGAAGGCCTTAAATATGGGCCAGAACGTCGGCATTCATCAAATACATTTTTATCATCTTTATGTAAATCTTGGTCACTAATTCAATGTATAATTTAAAGAGTTTTGATGAATTTAATTTGTTTAAAAAATATTCATTCAGGAGATATGTCATTATTTATTATGTAACATATAATAGATTTTAAAAACTTGCTGCTTTGGTGATTTCTTCTTTCAAAAGATCGGAACGTTCATTATCACACAAGGCCCAGGCCCTGACGTCAGTACAGGAAGTGTAAGTCTTCAATCTGCCATGACTCCTTTTTCTTTTCAACCTCCATTCTCTCCAGGAGCATGTACTTTCCTTAAAGATGTGCTCTCCCCGATGGAGGTACGTAGGCATCTTTGCCTTGCCTTACGATTTCTTCGATTCACTACTCTATAAAAAAAAAAAAAAATGAAGATTTAACTAGACATACTAGTTTAGACCAGGAACGGCTCTCACATTAGATAGGGATCCCTTTCCCTGATTCTTTTCACCTATGAGCGACATTAGTGAAGCATGTTTATTCATATATATATAACAATATGTAATATTAGCAATATAGTCTATTCAATACGCAAAATTTAAACTAACAATTTACTTAATAAGTGATTAGCTTGTCTCATTAGAAAATATTCCTCCAGTTAATAGTTAAACCAGGGGTCTCTAAACTTATACGTTTAATTTATTAAATTAGGGATTTGAAACCTTGAGTAAGTTACGCGGGTCGCGTTGAGAACTCCACCCAAGTCCCGCTGGATGATGAATGACCAAGGGCTTGTGATGAAAAATAAATCTTATTCTATAAATGACACTTTAACCGTAAAATGAGTTTTTTAAGAAAAATAAACTATGGAATAAATGTAGTAACCTCGTGTGCGAGTAATTTACTAAATTTCATATTTTTAAAGTTTTACTATACCATCAAAGAATTTTAGCGGACCAGATTAAAAGTGCTCGGACCGACAGTTTAGAGACCTCTGAGTTAAACAGCTATCCTTCACCATTATACTTATATTTAGGGGCATTAAAGTTCGCCGACGCTTAACTAGTGCCGAAACCCAGGACAACGTCAGGAGACCATAATTGGTTAACTATTTTTTTTTGTATTTTTGTTCGTTTTCCCTTTCTTTTAAGTTGTAAGGAAAAACTGAGATGGCGACGGACGGCATAATCATACCAGGAGTATTGAGCACATCAGAAATTTCTCAAACTCAAGAAGTTTCGCAGGTTCAAGAAATCCGTCACATTCAAGATATCCCTCCACTACCAAGGAACACATTGGCGGAATGCTAATGCTCTGGAATTGATGGAAATAAAAGCAGCGACCACGCACGACTTACGGAGGGTGACCGCGGACCTGGAACGCTTCGGTGGCGAGGTAGGCGAACTTGACCATATCATAAAAGGTGGTGACCACCTGATGTCTAGAATAGACGGTGGCGGAGAACCTTGTTAATCTAAGAGACGCGGCAGAATGGAAGGCAGCCCTTGTGTGCAAGGTGATTAGAAGCGTCCTGAACCAGATTCAAGCAAACGAGGAGACACCATAGCTGGTAATCAAGGAGAGTGAAGTAGGATTTCGGAGGAGGCAGATGGAAGCCGGAAGAAGATATTTTTCAAATGGTTATGGAACGCCGGTCCCAACGACAGACAAGAGGACAATACGCCGGAGTATTAGTGGCAAAATACAATCGCATCACTGAAAAAATGGGCGAGACAATGAGCGCAGGCGAGGTTGAAGCCAGGATGGTGTTTCTTTTAACTATACTTAATGTCCAATTAGCAAAAGAAACCGAGAAGAGGGATGGACTACCCAGAGAGCGGTCGTTCCTCAAATGTGCTCAGGAAATGATCAATTTAAGCGCAAGAGAGGAGGAGACTAGGATGGTTGTGGAAGAAACAGCCTAGACGCGAATAAATGATAGACGTCCCAGTACCGTTCCAATAGGCTGGAGAAGAAGAAAACCAGGACAGATGAATGGGGAAAGGGGTATGACAGGTGAATAAAAGATAGGGATAGCCTAGACCAAGGAATGGACCCCATAAGGAAGATAGGAAATGTCACGGTTGTGGAAAGCCAGGACACTTAGTGGCACAATGTCCTCGCACTAGATGCTTCGATTACGGGACCGAAGGGCATATCGCGAGACAATGCCCATATATTTCCCGTAGGAAAGAGAGATCTCAGGTGGAGCTGATGGAGGTGAATACTCAAAAGATGAGGAGACGAGTTAGTATGCTGCAGAGAAGCGGATTTTCGGAGGAGGCAACTGATCCGTCGGAAACTTCAGAAACGGAGACGGAAGAACCAAGTAGCAGTGGAGGCGAAGAAGGCAGGAGCAGCCAACGGAGTGAACAGAGACCAGTAACGGCAGTAAGGAGGAAGCGGGACGGTATCTGAGGAGTGTTTCCGCAGAGAGGCGACCGCACAGCAACATGTAACAACATTAGAGGTAAGCCATGCTGGTTGACAATCATTAAATTAGAAGGGGGAGAAAAATGTCTTGTAGACACGGGAAGCTTGAGTACTATTATGACCCGAGGGGCGTTAGAGAAATTGTGCGGTAGCGAGAGGTCACTCCGGATTCAAAAATATGACTTTCAGCTAATCACTCTGGGTGGTCCCTGTAGCGTGGAGGGAGGAGCTACAATCAAGCTTAATCGGTGGGCGGAAAAATGAAGTAAGATAAAGGTACACGTAGTAGGAAACATAACTTGAGGGTACCAAGCAATATAAGGTTGGGTCAGGTAGGGGTGAGAGTTAAAAACAGCAAAGGAGTCTGGAGTACTAGGCTGGGAAAAAGAAAGTTTAGATGCCGAGGGGTAGCGTGGGATAGAAGGGCGCTGATAGGAGCGGTGAACAGGGTAGAGGACTGGAGAAAAGGGATACCAGTGGAGTTTGAAGATATTTTCTTCAAAGCGGGCGAGGTATTGGGAGTTACGGGGAGAACGGTCCATGAGATCCCACTGAAGAAGGATAGGGTAACCAGGTAAGGGTAAGGAAAGGAGATACCCGCAGGCGTTGAGGAAGCATATTCGGGAGGAATTTGAAAGTTTGATGAAGCAAGGGATCATAGTTGATAGCATCTCACTATGTAATAGTCCCCTGTGGGCGGTGAAAAAGAAGGGAGCGCCGGGGGATAACAAGGGGAATATAGGGTGGTAGTAGACTACTATATAGGGTGGTAGTAGACTACTATATAGGGTGGTAGTAGACTACTATATAGGGTGGTAGTAGACTACTATATAGGGTGGTAGTAGGCTACTATATAGGGTGATAGTAGACTACTATATAGGGTGGTAGTAGACTACTATATAGGGTAGTAGACTATCGCAAACTGAATGACAATAAATTGGACGAGACGTATCCGATTCTCAGATTCGAGGACATACTGGACAGGTTGAGTGGGGCAGTGATATTCAGTTCGTTAGATCTCAAAGCGGGATATCATCAGATACGGATGCATCAAAAGGACCAATACAAAACGGCGTTTACATTCGAAAGGGGCCGAATGTACGTCGAAAACATTTCTGGTGGGTTATGAAAAAGCCCATTCAGGAGATTGTTGGGAAGTGAGAAGTATGTCTGCGCACGAAGTACGATAGACACCCCCCTCGAGGGATCCAGGAGGAGACATTACAGGGAATATACCATTACATTCAAATGGGTCACTATAATTGACCACTTCAGCAAAATAGCTATGGCACATCAGATCCGGGATAAGTCAGCCAACGCAGTTGTTGAGGCCCTACAAACCTGGGTGCAGTTTTACGGGTACCCGAGAGATTCGCATCCGACGGTGGTAGGGAGTTTGATAATACCGCGATTAGGGAAGATATGAAACGGTTAGAAGTTGTTTGGCACTTCAACACACCGGGACACCCTAAAAGCAAAGGCGGCATCGAACGGCTGCACAGTACATTGAGTGATCACATCCGCGTGTATCAGGGAGAGAAAGGTTTAGAGCCGAATATCCCAATGAAATTAGCTGTAACAGCATATAATCAAACTACAGTCTAGGAGACCACATCTCGCGGTCAAAAATCTTCATGGTCTGTAGCACCAACCGAATTTATAACATATCATATTGGGCAGTTCTACAATCAAATCGCAGGACTAGCCATGGGAAACCCCCTCGCACCTGACCTATCTAACATTGTTCTCAATGATCTAAATACCATAATTCCCCAGTTTCCAAACGACATTTTTTTTTATCAAAAACTATGTAGATGATCTTCTTATCCTCAACCCAGATAAAATTCCCGAAATTCTTTCGGCCTTTAACTCCTACTATTCCCGCCTCCGTTTTACATTTTCATATGAAAATAACAATACCCTTCCGTTTCTAGACCTCATAAAAAAAATACCAAAATAATACTTTATCCACAGATTGGTACACAAAACAGACACTCTCAGGCAGGCTTCTTAACTATTATTCCCAACACCCCTATCATCAAAAAATCTTATATACCGATGTTTTTCTCTGTCCTTCCCTACATGATAGCGTATTTATACCGAGAGGGTATTTATCCAATTAGAAAATCCAAGCAGTCAATCAAAAAACCGACAAACAAAACCTGCCCCTCGCCTACTTTCAAATCTTTAACCTATTAAAAAAACAATAATTTATCAATGACCTTTTCATACCAATCTTCTTTGGATTAACTATTTAAATTTATTTAAATATTTAACCCATTACACAGACCAATGCAGGAAACTACCACTTCAATAACCTCAGGTAACTGCCTTCTCTTATCTCGCCCCTTTCTAATTTTTCGGCATCAGACAAACACTACTTTTACAACCCTCTGTTCGCTTTCTATCTGTCAGTTTTTCTGTTACCTGACCCCAACACCGTACAACCAGTCGGCATATAGCCTTCAACAATGTCTGACTGAATGGTTTGTTTTTTAACTCTCGTTATTATTCTTTATATACCTACTACCTATTACACTTAGTATACTTCTTGATATCCAAATAATTCTTTACATTTTCCCAATTGAAATGAATTTCAATAGTCATCTACATATTCTGTAACCTTCTATAATTAATTATATATCATTTATATAAAATCCAATAACTAATATGTATTGCTTGTATCTTATATAGCCCTGAGGAAGACCTACGACGTATGTCGCAACGTTGGACAATATAATAAAAAAAACTATTATAAAACCCAAACATGTGGGTTGAAACGTCGGCACTAATAAAAAGTTTATAATGACTGTCTCCTGAATATTTATCACCATTTTATGTAGAACAGTCGACTAACTTCCTTCAATTGCAAAATATAGTTGTTGTTCTGTTTTTTTACAGCAAACCCGACTAATTTCTTGTCTAATTATTATAATTTTGATTTAATGTAATATTTTTTGGCCATATTTATACAATCTTATTATTAATGCTTTAATTTTATTTATCGGAAAATAAGATCAGAAATACTAAAATGGACTAACGTACTACATCATATTGCTTATCAAACAATGCTTTTATTTCATTTTGAAAAGTATTCAGTTATGCGTAGAATGAAACAAGCGTTTAATATTAAAATAATAATTTTTTTAGACGGACATAGAGTCCGGCTGTCGAGAAAGGACCGTACAACATAGGAAAGGCTGACCTACCGAGCTGGTGGTCTAGGACTACTTCAACGAGTACATTGGGAGATGGAGAGAGGTGGCGGGACCGGAGCACTTCATCCTTGGGAGAGGACAGAGAGGAGACTGAGGAACAAGATAAGTCGCAGGCGGCCCCGTCACAACTGCACGCGGGGGCTCACCATCTTTGAGAGGAAGCGGCAAATTTCTACGGGGTTATGGATTTTCGGAATGAAACTTATAATGGGGGAAAAGCATGGACCAGACTACAGAAAGTTTAATTGTATGTGATATATGATTGATTGTTCTAATTCTATTTTTGCCATGTTTTTATGAAGATTTGATTAATACAATTTTTTGGTAGGGGGTTAGGTTCCTGCGCCATCGACCTTGGGAGGGGATTGGCACCTCTCCCCTAACTTCCTCCAACTTTGAGCGTAATCCAACGAGCTATTTTTTATATGTAAGGATGTCGTAATATTACTGCAAACCAAAGTAGTGGATGGAATTCGATGAAAAAAGGAAGCATCAAGGTAACAACTCCAACCATACCTCAAAGTTTATCAAAATTTGATTAAATATAGTAGATGATATGCATTTAACTCCAGACAGGCATGAGAATGTTGAACTCTTTAAAATAGCAACCACGAGTCTAGCAACGTCCATTATAATTTGGCTTGCTCGAGTTTTTTTTTCTGGATTTTCAGTGAAGTAATAAATTTCTATACCAAGCAGAGGCCGTCATGTAGTAATTTATTATTTAATTAAGAGTACCCAATTTATAGAGGCTGGGTTTGCCCCAGGAGGGTCTCCCGGCCCCAGCCTTGATCCTCGGCTGATGATAATTACTAGTCATCAGCCGGATTCGAACCTAGACCTAGGGACTTGAGCTCTGGAAGTAAGTGCTCACCCACTAACAGCCGCGCTCCCTACTTTTTACTCAAAACACTAGATAAAACAAAAAAATGTAAAATATCCATTCCTTTATATATATGCACCTTTGGTATATGGGATTCACCTGTTTAACAAGCGAATCCTTCCCCTGCCTGAGAAAATTCTGGATCCCCTCCTGGCTGGGACCGTAGGACGTTACTAGGACTGGGGTTTGGTTTCAATAGAGATGGCATAAAACCTTCATTCCACACCTATGTCTACTGTCGTAAAAATTCAAACTTGATTCCTAATTTATCTAATAGGTTGTAGCACTATTCAGATCCTAACTTTATCATGTTTCCGCTAATTTTTCGGTTCGAGCTCAAGTAAATGTATTAATCGTCGAACCTTTAAAAACACATAAGTAATTATCTTTAGAAAAAGAAGATATTTGGATTGTAATAAGATTTCATTATTAGTAACAAATTAAAGTGTTATGGATTATATTCATGTAATTATATTTGAATTATATCGCTTAGTATTGTCAAACAATGATTTCTGTTAAAAGGAGAGGAATTAGTAGAGCTTGTGTGACGCGGGCAACAGATTTTCTTACTTTCACTTAGTCATCTTTTTTCTCTCATTCACTCCTTTCTGACTCCAGGATATGAACCCGTAATCATACAATGGAAATTGGACTAGCTGTAACTTCGTTAATAGTTGTCCAAAATGAACGATTTTTATATAGTTTTGTAGGGAATATCATTACCTTAAAAAACAGGCTAAACGGCGTTTTTTTTTGGGGGAGGGGCTCTGAAACATAGATGCGTCGAAAACCGCATATCTGAAATTCGACCCGATTGCAATACTTAGCTAGTATAGATAGGAAAGTAATAAGTTAAATCATGTGTAAAAAATGGAATAAGTTGTATCATCGCTAATACTGGTTCGATTCCGATGATTTTTTTGTTTTGTTTTGTTGGTATAATAGTTTTATTATAAATTTTACTCTATAATATATACTTAGGAAGTTAGGCCCCATAACATTTTACTTTTCTTTATAAGATTTTTCCCTTAATATTCTCGGGAATTCAGTCTATATTCGAAAATTAGAAGGACAATAATTAGAACATTATAGGAATGTTTTATCAAAATCGTTGGAGCCGTTTTCGCGCTACAGTCTTTAGAAAAACCTGTTTTTCATTTACTAGTAAAATAATATATATTGTTAATGAAAATTTAATTATTATAAACTATCTTCCTCATGACTTAGTCGTAGAAAGAACCAATCAAGACTTATCTAGTCAAATACAGTAAAAAACATGTAGTAAAGATTTTATTTTTCTAAATTAGCGATTGTTAAGGACGGATATCTGGGAAACTAAGCGAGTTATCTAAAAAAAGGTACATAATCAATCGTATTCAAAATTTTATCAGTTTTAATTTTGTATGGTTCGTTCTTGTTGATCGATGGATAGTTTTCCTGATATAAGCGAAAATCCGAAAAAAGTGTCCTTCCAGGCTTCTAGCTCACCGCCTAGGAGTGGGGTCTTTCAGTATGTTCACCTCCTTACAAGTCCAAGCAATATCCCAATGTCAAAATTGTGTTCCTTCTACACCCCCTTTTCGAGCAGCTATTGACTCCACTATAGATATTCAGATTTGAAGTTTTTACACGCAAGCGAATAAAATGGAAATCCGGTCTCTAGATATCATCATTACAATTAATTTAAGTTCGATAAATACCTCGATTATAACCTAACCTATACCGTACAGGTATAGCTACGGGGAAGCTAAGATTGATTATTTAGAGGATCTGAATCAAAGTACGATACCCATCTTTATTGCACATTTCATAAAAACTATTTTTAAATATATAGTATAATTTAATGAATATTTGAAGTCTGTTCTTTTACGTAATTGTTAACTGCTAAAAACTTACTTACTCTTGTTGGTTTTGGCAAATTGTAGTAAAAACATCTAACCTTATATCGTGTCACTAAACTAATCCATATGTTAATTATGATTTACTTCAAATACTTTAAATTAATTGTGTAATAAATAAATATTGACTGACAAAACTATTATATTTATATTTTTAAAAATGTATATTTTCCAATGTAATTCCAAAAACATAGCTTCTTGAAATTCGTTTTAACCACTAACCAATTAATATTTCGTCAATTCAGGTATGATTACAAGGTTTTGGTCAGAACAAGCTTATTGGTAGATCTACGCCATAAAAGGTTCACTAAATTTTGTTTATTATAAAAAATATTTGTTATAAGTAAACTACAGTAATTGGGAAATTCTATCCAATCTAGGGGAATGTACTTCCATATCTACTTAAACATCTTGGTTGGTGTTGCCCAAAATTGGTCTCGGTCTTGCAATCTTGGTCATGGTCTTGCACTTTTGCAAGACCAAGACCAAAACCGCTTTATTTGATGCAAGACCAAACCCTGCAAGGTTTGCAAGACTGACCAGGGAGACTCTTGCGGTCTTGCAGTAAAGTCAAACTGAAAATATTTTGTGACGTGGTACGGTGCTTAAAAGATTTTAACTGGGCCTTAAATCTAAACAGTATTGTTTTTCTTGTTGAATTTTATATTTGGGTATAGGTTTTCAAATAATTTTCAAAATTAATCATTTGGTAGGACCGCAGCAAGATAAGAAAAAGAAAAGAAATCTGGTGTATCCACTCACACGACTTTCCTACCTTTTTTTTTTTTTTTTGTTTTGTTGGTAATTTAATTGTCTTTCAAAAGTTATATTATAAATTTTACCATAGAATATATACTTAGCAAGTTAGGCCCCAAAATATTTTTCTTTTCCTTATAACTTTTTTTCCTAAATTTTCTCGGGAATTTAATTCATGTACGAAAATTGAAAAGACAATAATTAGAACATTAATAGGAAGTAATAAATTAAAATAGAAAATAGAATATACTGTATCATCGCTAATACTGGTTCGATTCTGATGATTTTTTTTTTTGTTTTGTTGATAATTTAATTACCTTTCATATTATTATTATTATAAATTTTACCATAGAATATATACTTAGCCAGTCAGGCCTAATAACTTTTCTTTTGTTTATTACTTTTTCCCTGCATTTTCTCGGGAATTTATTATTATTATCATCGATTTAATGAAGAAAAATTAAAATTCCCTTGAATTAACCAGATATTTGTCCATAAAACATTAGTAAGTAATATCCTAGACGAAAAAACAAAACATGTTTTTATTGAGTCCTAGGAAATGGTTAATTTCCTAGTTTGATTCCAAGAAAGATTTCCTGTTTACCTACCGCGTTTCATTTGATTATCTTATTTAATGCTTGATAGTCTGCAAGAATACATAACGTGGACAATTCTCTGTTTGTATTTTGAAATAATGGAAGGTTCTTCCTAATTATTAAATCTCCGACAACGTATGTTATATTATATCCCCATCGGTCGCTGTTGACTTATTTGATAAGACCGGCTGCCGAAAGGCTTTATCAAAAGGCTGTGCGACAAGTGTATTACAGGATTGACTTTGTTCTATCGCCGCCGCTTTCGTGGCAAAGGTTGCCGACTTTCTAAGGAATAAAATAAGTTTACAGCCTTCCGAACCGGAACGGACTGATTTATGAAAATTCTTCTTATTATAAATATAAAATTATAAGTCTTATAGGTGATAAATATTCAGGATGCAGTCATTATAAATTTTTTTTATTTGTGCCGACGTTTCAACCTAAACATGTGGGTCATCATCAAGGCCTGGTTCGAGCACCTTTCAAGTACTCCGGAGTTCTTGATGATGACATGTTTGTGTTGAGATGTCGGCACAAATAAAAAAAATGTACAATGACTGCGTCGTGAATATTTATCACCCACGATATGTAGAACAGTCAACTACCTTTCTTCAATAATTCTTTCAGTCTTATAATTATATATTTCAGAAATATAAAAATATTTTTATTTTTCTAATAAAATAACAAATAATATTATATGAATATTTAATTTTATGCTAATTTGATTATTTTATTTTAATTTGTTTTTCATTTAAATAAATTTAATCATTTATTCCATAGTTGTTGGATTCCTGTTCGTAGAATTTGTTTTTTCTTAGTTGCTTTTCAGCTCTGCGAAAAGAAGTTAAAGTGAGCCTGGCAAATTAGTATTTCCGGAATACACACACACCATCACAACTATAACTTTTTTAAAGTAAAAATATGTCACTATTTAAAACTGATTTACTTATTATTGATAGTACCGACCGATAGACGTTGTCATCTGGTCGGACCAAATTTTTATTATTATTTAAATAAACTCTAAACACTAAATTTGTGTTCCATTTTTTATTTCAATAAATGCTATCATTGTATTCAATGTCTTTATAGCACAACCCTTACATTCCATCTAAGGTGAGGGTCTATCTCTATCTATCTTGACAATGTCTTTAAAGTATGTATATTCAAGTGAATTTGGATGAACTTTGCTATATCTAGGTCAAAAGATAGGCTCCAATGTATCTATTCTTTTGTGTTGATCTAAGACATAAATTAAAGTGTTTAATAAATAGTAGTTGGCTAATAGGTAATTGCAAGACTTGCGAGACTCTTGCTGCAAGACCAAGACCAAGACCAAGTGTGAACACTGCAAGACCAAGACCAAGACTAGCCAAGTCTTGCGTTGGTCTTGCATTTGGCCAACACTACTCATTACCCCTCATATTTCGTTACTTAACAATGTTATATCCAACCTCATTTCACTGCCAAGAAATCCATAAATGACCTCAAACAAATCCCTCTCCATTCTCCTTTAGAATGCGAATGGTATTAGAAACCACATCAACGAACTGACAATTGTATTACATGACAAAAACATCGACATAGCACTAATAACTGAAACCCGACTAACCAATGAACGACAAATCAACTTTCTTGGCTACAATATTTATCGAACCGACCATCCTGATGGAACAGCACATGGTGGCACTGCCATAATTATCCATTGATCCCTTTCCCATCATCTTTTTCCCTTACCAACCCATAATTTCCTACAATCCACAGATGTAATAATCCAAACTTCCCTTTAGCCAATAACACTAGTTGCGGCGTATTCCACTCCTAAAATATCCATTTCCGAATCCCAAATAATTTCATTCCTGAATTATTTAGGACACCATTTCCTCGTAGGTGCAGATCTAAATGCAAAACACCAGGAATGGGGAGCCAGATCCACAAATTCCCGAGGGCGAACATTGCTATCTGCACTTAATTCCCATCGCAGCAACATCCTTTCACCTAATACTCCCACATACTGCCCAACAGATCCCGACCTTCTAGACTTTTTCCTACACAAAGGCCTAGGATCACTACACTGTTCCATTTCAAGACGTGATGATCTTTCCTCAGACCACAGTCCTCTAGTCCTAACCGTTTCCACATCTTCCATTCCTAAATCATCCCCACCTTCATTTATCAAGGGGCCAGTTTACTGGAACCTTTTACGTCAAATATTGGAAGATAATATTGACCAGAGTTTCCTTAAAAACATCTGAAGACCTCGGCGATGCAGTGCATTCCTTCACTACCCTGATCCAGCAAGCAGTTTGGATGGACTGCATCCTCACCTGATCGTCCCAAAAAATACCATAGCATAAATCCTTTACCTCAAGACCTACTGGACCTTATCCATAGCAAACGCTGCTCTAGGGCCCTTTGCCAAAGAACCAGGCATCCAGATGACCGGAAATCGTATAATTATTATTCCAAACCGGTAAAAAATAAACTGGATACCTTTAGAACCCAATCCTAAAATTCCTACCTCTCCTCATTATCTGCTCTCTGGAATGTAACTAAAAAAATCCTTAAATTCCATTCCATTTCTCACCCACTCCACCGGGATAATGGTTCTTGGGCTTTCTCAGATTCGAATAGAGCTGAAGAGTTTGTTCAAAATCTACCACATTCACTCCCCATCCCGAACTCTATCTCACCCATACAGCTGAAGTTAAAGAATTCCTCTCTTCACCAATCCGTATCTCTCTACCTCCAAAACCTGTTAACCCCTCTGAGGTTAAATTCTTTATAAACAAATTAAAACCCCGCAAATCCCCTGGATATGATCTCCTTACTTCACAAATCCTCAGACAACTGCCCAATTGCCCAAAAAAGCAATTATATTCCTTGCCTATCTATACAATTGCATCCTTCGTACAACCAACTTTCCTTCGGCGTGGAAACACTGCATAATCATCTTGTTCTCAGAACCAGGTAAACCTGTTAATAACACATCATCGTATAGACTGATTAGCTTAATTTGGATTCCGCTCAAGACATTCCACTGTCCAACAAGGCCTTCGTGTTGTGGACCATATATCCTCTGCACTTGACCACAAGCAATATTGCACTGGTGCCTTTCTGGACGTAGCGCAAGCTTTCGACCGTGTGTGGCACGATGGCTTTCTTTTTTTTTTTTTTTTTTTTTATCTATTTATTGAATAATAATACAATCAGCCACTGGAGGGCTATAAGTATTAGGGCTAAGAGTTCTCATTCAAACAATATATACAAATAATAGAGAAATAAATATAAATATAAAAAGTAAATAAATAATACTGATGAAGAAAGAAAATAAAAGAAAAAAAAATAAACAATAACATAAAAAGAAACTTATAAACACAATCATACCTATATACAATATATACATTCGCCCAAGAATCTCCGAGCCAGGCTTTTTCCCCCACATGTGGAAGGCAAAGCAAGACTCCAGGAGATTCCAGTGCCACTTTTCCAGCCGCATCACTGGTATTAGAAGCCAATGGAGACTGAAAGAGGGCACTAGAGCCACAGACGCTCGGGACATGAGTGGAGAAGCTGGCCATTGCCAGGACTCCAGAAGCATATTTACAAGAGATCTCTGGGCCACTGCCGTTTTAACCTTCGTGGAGGATTGTAGGGATGAAGGGAGCTGGATAGGGATTGAGCTAGAGGATTTGGATGATGGATAAGGTTTTGGTGAAAGTTTGAGAATCT